AAATACTTACTTAAATAAGAATTCTTATGCAATAGGATTATCCTATTGGAATTTAAAGAAACATTTAAATTTTTGAATCCAAACATCCCTCATTTAATTACATTTGGTTTTGATGACCCTCTTATCACTCTAGATAAGCAAACTGAGACAATATATTACTTGTAAAATAGCACAAATAGAAAGCAATTTAAACTTAAAAGAACACCAGAAGTAGAAAAAATATTGGAAGGAGTAGATTTTGATTATGAAAAAGATGTCTTTTATGATAATTTCTTGTTTATGTTTGAAAAATGCGGCCATGTACCTCATTTAAAAAGAGCAAATGAGCTAGGCTATTGCTTACGTATATTTGCCAGGTTAATTAATTACTTAAACACAACTAATTAACTAAATCATCTCCTCACATAATTTCCAAAGCTATGAAGAAAAATATTTTATTCAAATATTTTCTTTTTTAATATCTTTAAAATTTTATTTTATGTTCATAAAACTGAGCACATTTATAGCTTTTATTAAATTGTAAAAAATAATTGAATTTATATTTTAAAAAAATATTATTCTGGTTTTAAATATTTATAATTAGATCATACTTTAAATATTAAATATATAACTTAAAAATTTTTATATAGCTTTTTCCAAATTAAAATATGTTTATAGATGAAAAATGTGAATACAAACATATTGCTGTATACTCTCTATATTAAGATCCCCCTATTATAAGACCCCTTATTTTTTTGGAAAGATCTTGATGATCACTATTTAGTATTTATGAGTTTGAGAGGTTGGTAAGATATAATTAATGAGGATTGATGGTATATAAATTATTCTTATCTACATAAAATTAAAAAAATAGGATTTATTAAAAATAAAAATATTTATGCTTATAATTTTTATTTTTAATATATTTCTTTTACATAAATTTATTTTTTACACCTAAAATCTCAAAATAAGGTCAATTAAAAATAATTTTCTTGTAAATTGGACTAAATGGAATAATTCTTAATAATTTTCTAAAAATAGCCTTAATAAACTTAAGAAAATGCATAAATAAATTAATTATTTTTTAATAAATAAAATTTTGACCTTTAAAATAAATATATAAAAATAATAAATCAAATTCAGCACTTTTTGCATAAATTCCATAGTATTAAATGCTAATTATCAATCTATTTAAATTTCTTGACTTAATCTACTTTGATCAGAATTTTTATATGGGTAAATGAAAATTAATTAATAAATAATTTTTGTAATATTTACTGAGCTATTTTTTTTACTATTTTGTTTAATAAGTTATAGAAGGGTAATTTATCTTTGTTTAGTTATAATTAGATATGTTTTCACGCTATTTCTTAATTCACCCTTGAATAATAATATATATAATCATTTGATTAATTTTCCTCCACCCTTTAAATTAAATAACTAGAATAGAAAAGTAAAAAACTTTGAAAGAAAAATGTAAAACTAATTAGAAAGAATTTTAAATAATTGATTAAGATAGTTGTAAATAAATATATTTATTTCTATCTACATTTGTATTAGCTGATTAAAAAAATGTATAATGCATAATGCTAAAATACATACTATTTTTAAATAATATTTGAAATACACTTTTATTTATTTTAAATTATGTTTTATCAACAATTTTTTACAAATGTAATTTTTAAATTAATGCGTTTAATTACTTATAATTTATTGTAAATAAACGAGAGGAATATCAAACAATTTATTACTTTTCTATATTAAATTTTCTTTGTAAAGAATCACCTATTTCAAGTGCAGTTGATTGCAGCTAATTTTTAGTAATTTGAATTTAATTATTAATTCACAAAGGTTTAATTTTGAAAGGAAAGATATAAAATATGATTGCAGACGAAGAAAACAACAATAACAATAACAACAACGAAGAAAATGATAACAATATTAATAATAATAATGACAACAACAATTAGAATATGCAACCTCAAGGATAGGAATTCTATCCTGGTTCTTATTTCAGTTCTTTTTTGATTGATGGATATGCAGAGGATAAATATAAAAATACAGTAACGCAGATATGCTAAAACAAAAATTTACATCTGTTAATAGGATTATTAGAGTGTTTAGTTTGCAACTCTATTATTGTTTTTTATTATTTTACACAATTGTATGCTGCTTTTTTGGCTATGATTGCTATTTTGGGTTTGCAAATTATTTTAACATTTCTTTAGAATTTGACTTGCTATAAGCAAAACAGCAAATCGATAGCTGGAAATATGTACGCGTACTTCCTTTTGGATTTTATTCTTTCTGCTCTTTCTTTGGATGTTCTTCTTTTTATCAGGTTTTGCTTATTAGAGGCTGATAAAATTTAAAAGACTGAAAAGATCTTTTTCCTTTAGAATTTCATTTTGAAGTTTGTTAGAAGATTTATATTGAAAATATTCTTCAGCTTCGCAAGATCTGTTGTTATTATTACTTTCTTTATATTGAATACTAATTTGGAAAAAAAACTGAGTCTAAACAGTTGTTTCATGCTAGCTTATATATTCTTGAATATGATCATTTCAGCTTTCTTCTTATTTAGTTACGCAACGCTTTTTATTTTCTCTATAAAATAATCTATTATACAGCAAATAATAACTTTTTTTGAGATATTAATTGAACTGACTATGTCGTATTGTATCATCACATTCTAGATTTATAACTTTTTCTTGATATACATTACTTATATGCTATTTGCTATTTAATATTTTTCTTTTTACTGCAAGTCACCATAGACTAACTTTCTTTTTAATCCTATGAATTTATCTATATTTGGTTTGGTCTTCATGGCATTTAAGATATCTTATCTTTCTTCTCTCTATAACTGCGATCTATATTAGTATGAGATGCTCATCATAAACAAAAAAAACTAATTTAGCTATGCTTTTTATAATTTATACTTAGGAGGAATCTATACAATATTGTTTTATTTATTTTAAGGTAATTATCCTACACCAATCCCATAGTTATTATTATTCTGTGGATTTTATAGTGGAGTCTTAATGATAATTAAATTTTTCTTAATTGTAAAAATGACTAAACAATGTAAAGTTTATGACTTTAGCTCAATATAACAAGTTGAGTAATTAAATACAAAATAAGATTATAAATGCAGATTAACTTTAAATTTTAAGTTCTAACTTAAAAAAGATGATTTCATGAAATTAACAAAATACATTGATTTCAACTCCTAATTTTGTTAGATTAATTTTGAAAATTAATTTTCTATAGAATCGGTTCATAATTTTTGTAGGATGAAAATAGTTGATTTAAAATCAGAAGAAATAAGTTAATTTTTTGGATATTTCATGTCAAAATCTTCATTTTTCTCTGTTTAAGCTTTACAAGTAGAACAAGATTTTAAAAATAACTATTAAGTTTGCTCTAAAATACTTTCCTGTCTCAGATAAGTCTCCATAGTAGACCAAACAAAATTTAATTTAAAAGACTCCGACTTTCTCATGATCCTTCGTAGTTAGGAATACTATAATAATCTGCAAAATTTCTTGAGATATTTTAATGTTGAAAAAGTTATTATGGATTTAGTAACTTTCTACAAATATATTTCTATCTATTAATATGTAAATCCAGCTAACATTATCTACGATCTTTACGATATCTGATAAATTTCAAGACTTTTTTAAAAATAAATTACAAATTAATTTATTAATTATTACTATATAAATTACATTATTATATAAAAAATATATTTGTATATTATTTAATTTCTTCAATTATTAATTATTATTTCAAAATTAAATTTTTTTTAAATAATTAGTTTTTGTTTAATAAACAGCTGAGTTAAAACTTATGATAAAAATGTAAGCTTAAAATTATTTTTTAATAAAAAATTTATTTGAAAAAAACCCATAATAACTTTACTCAATATGATTAAAATGAATAAATTAGTTAATTATTATATGAATTTAATCTAATTTAAAATTTTATGCAATAGAACTTTATATTCTGTGGTAACTACATACATAAATTATTACATTGATCTATAATGAAACATCTATCAATTAAAAATTAAAGAATATTCAATCACAAAATTTTCATATATAAAATAATTATTTTTTATTTAATAAAAAGATGAGTTAAATAAATTGTTTGTTAAAATTCTAAACTTAAAATATATTTTTAATAAATAAATTAATTTGAAAAAAACACAAAATAATTTTACTCAACAATATCTAAATTCAAACCAATAGATAAAATTAAAATAAATAAATTAATTATTATTTGAATTTAATCTATTAAAAAACATTATACTTAAGCAAATAAATTATTTATATACATCAATCATGAAATATTTTTAATTTCTAAATTAAAGAATATATTCAAGATCATAAATAAGTTAAAACTTTTGATAAAAATCTAAACTTAAAATAATTTTTTAATTGAAAAATTTATTTGAAAAAAACACAAAACAATTTTTCTCAATACTATTTAAATTCATTTTTATAATTATATTTATTTAAAATAAATTAATTAATTAATTAATTAATAATTCTTTGAATATAAAAAAATTTTAAGCATTATAGGTTTATATCCTATGTAAAGTAAATAAATACATACATTACTTACATACTTGTATTTTTTTTAATTTAATTTCTATTTGATAAATATTTGTTTAAGGATTTGATAATCAAAAATAAATGGAATTTTAATATTTGTTTTTAGATAAATCTATTTTAAAATATCTTTTCTAATTTAAATAATTAATTTAATAATAAAAATTAAAATTAAAAAAAATATAATTTTTATAATTAATAAATAAAAATCTATAATAATTTAAAAATTTGTATTATTGGCACTAATTATTAACAACTTAAAAATATATTTTAAAAAAATTAAAATATTTGAACAATTTAAAAATAAAAGTAAAAAAAATATATTTTCACTTAATAATTACTTATTTGAAAAATATTTTAAGTTGCCTTAAAAATTTAAAGCATTTTCTTACAACATTTTTGTCCTCCTATACTAAAATATTTATTTAAAATTTTAGATTTGCATCTAAAATGAAAACTTAAATTTAATGAAGTAGTATAATTGACTGATGCTACTAATTATTTTAAAGTAAAACCTGTTTTGGTTTTGATAAAAGTAATATCAATTGAATAAATTATCAGAAGTGCGTATAACTAATGAATCAGTATGTGTTAGAAAAGTAGCTCTAAAGCATTTTTTTATGTTTGTTGACAAAATATACTTCTTGATTATTTTTAATTTCATTTATAATAGAATTAAATTGATTTTTTTTATGTCTTAAAATAGATTAATATAAAAACTATATTTTTAAGATAAAATTTATCGAATTGAATTAAATAGCAATTTAGTTTTAAAAATTGATTGATTTTTTTGAACTCAAGTTTGATACTTAAGATTTAAGTTCCACGAATTAATGAAAATAAGTATGCTAAGAGAAGTTTCTATATAATTATTGTTAATTTGTAATTTCTGATGATAAATAATGTTTGAAATTCTTGTGTTGATAAGAATTTTTTCAATGTGAATATCTTATATTAAAAGTGTCTTTTTCCTTTAAATCAATACGTATAAAATCTGAGATACATATTTATTAATTAATACGTGATAAAGCATTAACATAAATAAATTAAATGGTCTACGAAGGGAAATTTAATTACTTATTTCCAATCAGAACTTGGAATTTCGTTTATCATTTATAAAATAATTGATACAAATTCAATTATGATAGTTTAAAATATTTTAAAATAAATTAGCACTCATTGAATATTAATTTATTGTTTTGTTTATTAACCTTGCTTAATATATAATTTAAATAGGATTTTTTACCTTTTTACAATCATTTTTTATATGTTCTCATTAAATGAAGATATTAATTATAAGTTCTAAAAAGTTACAAATAAATATTTTGTCTTTTTCAAACGCAATTTCTCAGAATAGATTTCAAATAATTCTACTTAGAAAAGATATTTGATAGATATTCAAAAAGGCATTGCAAATCTATCTAAAAAATCTATTAAGCTTGATAAGAAAATAGAAACAAATGATTTTGTTTGTGTGCTTGCTTGTTAGAAGTTGTTTTCAAACAAGAAAGTTAGCTCATTTTTAAATTTTTTTATGTTTACTGCTGTATTTGAAAGTGTCTATCTTAAATTCTAAAAAATCTATGTAGTTTAGAGAAAATATTTACTTAAATAACTCACCAAGAGAATATTGAAGTTCTTTAAAATCAAATAAGAAAATATTTTAAATTTGGATTAACTTTGATAAAGTATTAAAAACTAATATTTTTATTTGTTTTTATGCATGCTTATCTGTCATTTATGTTTGCCTGTTTGTTTCTTCATTCATTTATTTACTTTTTTGAACTTACAATTAATATTTTGATTTTAGGAGAACATATAAAAAACAAAGATTAAAGCAAAATATTTATCACTTATAGCAATTTCAAATAAGCTTTTAAACTGAGTTAATTTTAAATTTATTTTACAATAACCTTCAAATCACTTTAAATATGGATTAGGATGGACATGTAATTTTATTTTTCTGATTATTCTGTTTATTTATGTATTAACTAGTATTTAGATTTACTAGAGAACAAAAAAAAAATTGAAAGAAAAGCTAAATTATTTATCTGATAAAAATTTCTTTTAGATTAGTATAGAATTCTACTTGAAATAATTTAAAACTAATTATGAAAAAAGCTTATAAATTTATTTTAAATATGGATTTAAGAATGTTAAAAAATAGGAAATGAACAATATTTTTTGTCATTTTGCTAATTTATTTTTGTTTACTTTTAGAGGAAAGGAAATTTTGATATTTAGGAGAACATATAAAAAAAATTTGAAAAATAGTAATAAATTTATTGGAGTTTGACTGAGTTGAATAAAATTCTACCATGAAATAATTTTTTTATTTTTAGAAAAATCACCGTGAAAATTTATTTAAAATATTTTTAACTTAATATTAATATAATTTATATAAAAGGATTTATTCATAAAAACTGGAATTTTTGCTTTAAAAGTTTTTGATTAGTTTTTGCATTTAGTATTAATGAAAATTTAATTATTAATATACTTGCTAAGCTTTAAAAGGATAGAAAGTATTCATAAATATGTCAATTTATTCGTAGAAACAGTTTTTAGTGGTTAAGTAGAGGAACTACCTAACATATTTAATAGTACAAAATAAGGAATTATAAAGAAAGAGTATTAATTTAGTAAAGATATTTAGAAAATATCTTTTTTATCTAATATCTGTTATCAAAAATTAAACTAATTATTTCTGATAAATTAAGTGGTAATTTAATAATTGCTAATTATTTATTTATTTCTACTAAAACAGTCATATCAATTTTACTTTTCAAAGTATTTTATATTCAATCATTCATTTTATAAAAGATCAAATTAAACTTTGCTTTCATTTTAGAATTCTATTTTAATATGTTCTACTTCATTTTTTCCTAGCGTTTAAAAGGAAAATCTTAATAGAAATATATATATTTCCTTATAAAAATAAAAGATTTTATTTATTCCTGGTTTAATTTATCATAAAAATATCTCATGAGTTATTTTTTGGCTCCATTTTCAATAGATTTAAAAAAAAGCATAGAATTTTGTTTAGTTTATTTTAACATAAACATTTAATTCGAATTGAATATTTAGGATCAAGTCTATTATGCATTAATATTCAAAGATTGTTAGAGATCATATAAAATGGATTGTTGACTTTAAATACCCAAGTGTTATTTATGTCAAAAGATGTATAATTAATTAAATAAATAAACAAGAATAAATAAATTCTAAAAAAAATGAAAAGAAAGCAACAACTATTTTATATACTGAGCTTGCTAACTGTGTTCTCTGTATTGGTGACATAAGTTCAAAGTCAGTAGCTGATCAACAACTGTGCTAAGCATTACGATGTGTTTGACTACTATAATCCTAATATTGTGAGAAAAATTTGCACTAGGTGCAAGAGCACTCTTACTGAGACTTATGTGCTTAGATATGACTTCCAAGAATGCATACGTACCGTGAACTTTTTAGATGGACTCTAAAACTGCTAATAATTAACTCTAGATGGTAAGTGCAAGTAGACTTTAAGTTACTCCTCAGTTGTGAATGCTGATAATTGGACTATCATTCCTTAGAATAGAACTGACGATTTTAGTTCTTCATGTGCTTAAGTTAACAGCCTTGGCAAATGTGTTTATCCAATTTTTCCTCATGCTATGATTAACGTTTAAGGTAGCGATACTTTTTATAAAAATTTTGAATGTGCTTTTGTAAATTCATCAAATTATTGCTAAAAAACTCACTACGGTTTTATTTTTACTGCTAATTAAAATTACTTTTTGTTTGATTTCCAAAACTATGAAAAATTAAACAAAACTATAGTTTCTAAGTATACTGATCGTCTTTATTGTGTCAAAGGTTATACTTTTACTGAAACTGGCTGCATTTAAGATGGATCTTCCTTCCCTACAATTCCAAATTGTGCTGAGTAAATGGGTGATTATTGCTACACATGTAACTAAGGATATACCTTGCAAAATACTCGTTAGTCTTGCTAATAGATAGGTGATGGCAAAAGCTGTTTGACATTCGAAAATATTCGTGGTGTAAATCAATGTATATTATGCGATAATTCTTATTCTTTGTATAGAGGTCAATGCTACTAAAATATTGCACTATCCCACTAAAATATCAGATTTGGCTCTTTCTGCAAGGCTCCCTACTACGGAAAAGGCTGTACTTAAGTCTAAAAAAATCTACCTTTAAACTGTGGTATTGTAGATTCTTAGAAAGGTACTTGCGCCCAATGCACCGATATTGAAAATTACTACTTTGATATTAAATCAAACTCTTGCAAGAGCAGAGTTTTTTCTATCGGCTGTGCTGTCAAGCATCCCGTTAGTGATTCTTGCTATGTAGCTTACTGCCAACCTGGACTTAGATACAGATACCCTCTTCCCACCTTCTATCCTCCTACTTACACATTTGTTGATGCTAAGTATAATAACATTTGGAGAAATTAGTTTTTAGGTTCTAAATCAAATATCACTCAAACCGAATGTATAGCTGATGTAAACAACCCCTTAGATGTTAATTGCCAAACCTATGATTAGTATGGATAATCCTGCGTTTAATGCAAGCCTAATTATTGGTTACTTTAGAAAAATGACGGCACAAGATATTACTACTGCTCAAATGATTTGAACTAATTCAAATCCTTTAGCCAATATTGCTTAACATTTAATAATTAAAGAACTAGATGCACTTCTTGTCAGCCAGGTTATACTGTAAACTAAAGTGGAGATTGTGTTTAAGGCTCAGATAAAGATAATTGTCTTATTTATGATTCATCTGGAAACTGTTCTCTCTGCAAAGAAGGATTTTATCCTTACTTATCAGGCTGTTCAAACTAAGATCTTTGTTGGTTATCATTAGATCCTAATACTAATTCTTATTATTGTAGTGAGTGCAGATAATAAACTGACAAATAGATTATTTAATATAACAATTTTTGCTCAGTTACTAATAATGGAGATAATTGTGCTAAATATAATTTAATTGGAAATGCTTATAAATGCGCTTATTGTCAAGACGGTAAAGTTATTTTATTAAATCTTATCTAAATTTATTTAACACTTAACTTTATTAAAAAGGTTATATAATTAATAGCTCGGGAACTTGTATTTCAAGTTTTAGAGAATGGGTGTATACAATTGCTACTTAATCAAGTACTAATCTCATTTAAGGATGGAACAATAATGGATATTATTTAAGATAAAATGGCTAAGATGTTACTTGCTAGTAAGGATACATTAAACAGTAATGTGATACCTGTTCCCAAAACTGTCTTAGCTGTATAGATGATATCTGCTATAAATGCTAAACTGGTTTCGTTTTAAATAGTTTTTATGAGTGTGTACCAAGTGCTTGAAATAAATCAAATTATCTCATTCACTCTCTCATTCCCTCATTTTAAATATTTAAAATGGTTAAAATATATAAAGATTTATAAATTATAATTATTTTTTTAAGTATTTCATTTTATATTCATAATATATATGTATGTAAACCCCTTTTAAAAATTATACTTTTCAAATGTTTATTTAAGCTAATTTTTATGAAATAAAATTTCACTTATTCATCAATAAATATTTTGCTAATCAAGCGTATAAAAATGATTAATTATTTCTATATTGATTAATTATTGATAAATAACCTATCATTTAATTTAGATTTCTTGACATTTTTTGAATGAAATACTTAATTATATTGTTTTTCTAAATTTTGTTTATGCTTAGCTTCATTCGCACTTTAGCACGATTTAAAGAAGAATTAACACCATAAAAATTTTTTTCAATATCAGTACAAAAATAACAAGAAAATCAGAAAATCAATTAATTAAAAACTAAGAAAAAAATTTTAAAAATCTTAGAAAGAGATTCTTCAAATAAACATTTTACAGTTCATTTAAAATTATTGCTTAATAATATTTAGATTTGAAGAAAAGAACTGAGATGAAACAAGTCGAGAATTCATAACTCAGAAAATACGAATATAATTGAGAAGATAAAAAGTTCTGTTTGATATTATTTAGAAAATAAATTAAAAATTAAACTTAAACTGATTTTTATAAATTAAACTTTTGTTAATTATTTAGCTTACTAAATCTTATCAATATTAAGTTTAATAAGCTTAGCTGTAAAGATAATAGGTAATTAGCAATATTAAAATATTCTAAATAATACCTGTATTTAGTTCTATTTTGTAATTGAATATTTTAAAAATATTTATATATAGATATATTTAAAGAGAGAGCTTTAAAAATTTTCTCAAATATTTAATAGAAAAAACTCAATAAAATTGTGTTTTAGGAATCATGAATTTTAATATTCTAATCTTCATTAGCTTTTATTCATTTAAAAAATTATTTAAATATTTTGAATTTAATAAATAAATTGAAATAAAATCAAGAATTAAAACTTACATGAAATTAAAATATTTAGATTATTTTATAATTTGAAATATTAAATTAATTAAAAAATTTATTTAAAGTAAAAATCCATTTAAAAAATAAAATACAAATAGAAATAATTAAATATAAATATTAATATTTTATTATTTTTTAAACTTTCAATTTAAATTGTAAAATATTTAATTGATATAATTTATTGGTTTATTAATAATTTCTTCTATAAAAAATTATAACAAAAATTTTAAATTAGATTTATTATTAAATTGAATAAATTAAATTTGTAATTTCATGAAATTAATGTTTTTTTTTTTAAAGAAAACATAAATAAATATATTGATATCATTTATTAATTTAAATTTTTAATTTTTTTTTTTTTCTTCCTATCCAAATAAATTAATCATAAATTTTATTAATTTATATTTCTTTTTAACTATTTGTTAGTTTTTAAAATATTTATTTTATTATTTTTAAAATTTATTAGTTACATTTTTTTTACCTAATTACCAAATAAAATAAATAAATAACTAAATAATAGTTATTAATTTATTGAATAATTTAAATATATACTTTTAAATATGCATTTTATATTAAATAAGCAATAAAAAAATTGTTTTTGAATAAATAAATTAGCTAATATTTTTTCATCTAAAGTTCTGTTTTAAAATATATAATTTACTTTTTATTTCTCTGATTAAGCTGTTTATGATGCTTATATAAAATTATTTTTGGTTAAAATGGAAATGCTTATTCGCATATTAATTGATTTGTTGATTGATAAATTGCTTTAAATTTTATTTAAATTCTCTCTTACTTCATTTATCTATGAAGAAAGAAAGTACTAGGAAATTGTTTGCTTGTTTTTTTGTTAGAGTTTTTCAAATAGTCTTATTTGAATAATAATTTTTATGAAAAAAGAGCTCTATCTTTCTAAAAAATAAGATACAAATTTAAAAGTTATTAAAAACAAGCAATTCTTTTTTACTTTTAAAGCGAAAAAGAAGGTAAGTCCATAATTGTCTTAACATGCAAATGAAATATCCAAGTGAATTTTAAGAGACTCTGGTCTGAGCTAATCAATTTAGATAGCTGTTTCTCTAAATTGCTTACTTTAGATTGGCAAAAGTCAATTGCCTCTTGAAATATAGCAAACGATAATTAAGGAAATAAAAAAAGTGATCTAGGCTGCAAAATGCATATTTTGTGAATTTCTTTTGCAACAGAAAGACTTAAAAATCTCCAAAAAGATATTTTCATGTAAACTGAAAGATAAAATGGCAAATTACAGATTAGAAACGAGTAATTCTATTTAAAGACTGCATTTATGTAAATAAATAAAATCATCTTTGTCTATGATTGGTTGATTGATACATAAACAGGTAAGGTAAAAATATTTAAAAAGCCAACAAACAAAATGTTTTCTGATTTTTTTCAAACAAAAATGTTGTTTCTTAGTATTTATTTATGGAGAATCTCCAAATTATTGCAATTTATTTCCAATTTTTTAATATCCTTCAAATTTAAAAATATAATTGTTAATGAAGTATTTTAACTTAACCAATGAATCAATCCTAAACTAATAAATAATTAATCATAGCAGTTTAAGCTGTAAAAATTGTAAAAAAATGTAAAAAATGACTTTTTGATTGACATATTATTGTTAATTTATTTATTTAATATTTTTATTGTTAAGTATTTGTGGTTAGCCACCACCGTCGTCATCAAAATCAATAAGTAAATAAAGAAAAAACAAATCGACTAACCAATTATCCAATCAAATTTTATTATAAATACTTTATAGTTTTACAAACCCTTCGTAGCTTAAAATTTTTCAATCGGATTATAATTACTTCCAACAAAAATTCAAGTCTTATCTTACAAACAAGTTAAAGTAGATACAATACTACAAAAAAAGGGTAAGTTAACTATTTATTTATTTAGTTGATAGTAAAAATAATTAAGTAAAAATAAAATAAACGAATTTATTGATGATAAGCAAACATGAAAGAATATATTTGAATTTATTAATGATTTAAATAAAGAAATAATTGTCTATTTAACTTTCTTTCTTTCTATCTTTCTATTTATTTATTGATTTATTTTGTTATTTGTTTGTTTGGATTGATTTTGGAAAGTTAAAACAAAGAATTAATGAAATGAATAAATCAAATTGATTTACTTAAAAATATAAATTTACTAAAATCTAAATTAGTAAGAGAATCCTAATTATTTCTTAGTGATTGAATTATAATTTGAATAGGACCAAATAAGCTAAGAAACAAGAAACCAAAGCAAACAAGAAAAACATGAATAAATAGATTTTGTTTTTTTATAGTTTCTTTGGAGGGGGTTTTTCCCTTTTTTGTTAAAGGAGCAAATAAAAGAATTTTGTTTGATCAATCGATGAATGAACATATAATCAATAAATAACACATTTTTAGAGTTTTCCACCTATTTTAAGTAATTCTTAATGATGATGTATGTGTGTTAAATTCCAATATAATCATCATTATTTTTACAAACAATTAATCCCGCCTAAATTTTAAAAGAATTAAAAAGAAAGCATGAGTGAATGAAAGAATAAGTGAAGTAATCCTTTATTAACCTTTCAAAACCCCCATTACTTCATTTATACTGTTATAAAAAGTCCCCCTACAAAACCAATCAGTCATTTACAATTTTTTTACTATTTATTTATTTAGATGGTTTTTTACCATTTTAAATCAGTTTCTTTCAAGTAAAAAGTAATAAATAGAGTTACTTACAAATTAGTTAAGGCAATTAAGTATACATAAATTAATAAATAAATAAGCATTTCAATAGTTATCATCATAGATTGATTGATTCATTCATTTATTAATTAATTGATTGATTGATTCATCTAATCATTGATTTATATCAAAAAGAAAGCTAATTTAAATTTAGAAATCAATAGAAGAATAGTAGTGACTTGTGAAATTATTGTTCGTCTAGAATATATCATCATTTTTTAGAACAATTGCAATATTTTGAACGTTTTATTTAATGTGTCATCTTTCTCTTTGTCTTTATTACCCCCATTTAAGAATATCTATCAATTTACTTCTATTATTGAATTTTTTATATACCCATTCATTATTCAATCGTTAAGAAGCACTTACTAGTAAACGGCACAAATAGAATAATATTTGCTAAGTGATTCAATCATTCATTAATTTATCAATTTCTTCACCTAAGTTATGCTCATTTTTTAGATTTTTGCATATTTCAAATTTATTATTTTATCAGCAGAAGCTAGCTCCATTCATAGCCAGCACACAATAAGTCCCATAAATTCAATTTAATTAAAAGAGCTAATTGAAACAAACAAATATTACATTTTTCTTATATTTTAATTAACATCAAGAACAACAACCACCTTTTATTCATTTATTAATTGATTGATTGTTTTATCAATATTTATTTACTATCAATATTTTCTTGTCATTTAAAATAGATTTTGAAGAAAGTTTAATCAGAAATTCTTTCTAGTATTAAAGACTTACTTGATTCCTTTGATGAAAATAATTATTAAACCATTTGAAGAAGTGGAATAGTGACCTAATTAAACAGCCATCTATATATCTATCCTTTACAGTTGTTAAACACTTGAAAATTTATAAAGAATTTCTGTAAGATAATTTAGAAAGGAAGGCCTAAATGCTAAAAATAGGAGATAGCTATAAAGAAAGTAATAATTGATTGCTACTAACTTTTCATATTGTTTTGTTAGAGATTGTTGCAAAAGGTAAATTTAATTTAAAATTAAGAGAGGAAAACATTTTTTTGTAAGTTTTTCGATTTTTAATAGTGATTGATTACATTTAGTTTATGTATTCATTTTTAAGACTGTTAAATATATAGATTTTATTAAAAATAATATATAACTTTACAGCCAAAGTTAATACTATTAAGTTTTTAATCCAATTTATCATTCGTTATTTCAATTAAAATTGTATAAGGAAAATATGTCTAAATTAAAACATTTTTTGGCAGCTAAATAAATAAATAAGTTTTTATTCATGTAAATTAATTAATTATTTTATTTAAAATATCTATTTGAAAAGATAAAAGAATTTAATAAAAATTTTACATAAAGGAACTAGCAATCATTTAACTGATTTTTCTACCAAAATAGCCATTTTTTTTATTTATTTTTAAATTTAAAATACTTTATGAGTGGCTTTATAATAGTTCAAGTATTTATTTATAATGATATTAAATATTTAAATTATTTATTCTAAACGTTTTACAAACAATCTAATCAAACTTCCTATGAGAATTCATTAAGTTACTATAAATTACAAAAAAATACACATGAATACAAATTTAAATTTGTAAATAAATTAACAAACATTTAAGAAGTAGTATGATAAAAATGTTTAGCAAAATAGTAATTTTTTATTTTAATAACAAAATTTTAATGATTTTTTATTAAGATAATAATCACATTAGATTTTAGTTCTATAAAAATTATAGTTTTATTTTAAGAATAAATTTATTTATTTAGCCTTGCTCTTACATTTAATTTTGGTAATTTTACAAGATTAATAGAAGAAAAGAAATGTATGTTTTACTTTTTAGAATTTCAACACGTTCAATAAATTTAATTATTCCTGGTTACTTACATTAATTTTATATTTATAAAGCAAGCTATTTATTTCTCTAGCTATCTAGCTTTGTTATTTATATTGATTTTTAAGATCTTTATAGTGAGCGAAAATATTATTCAAATATAACAATATGATTACCAATCATTATTATTAAAGTTTTTTGTCCATTCAAATTTTAATATAAATATGAAACTTTAACTAATATTTTGATTAATGAAGATTTATTTACAACGATTACATCATATCTTAGTATGTATTTTAATTATTGATATAAATCTATTTATATCTCTTTTCTTTCTATCTACCTATTTGTTTATCTATTTATCAATCATAAGTAACCACTTACCTTTAAATAGCGATTTCTATACAAATGAAAATTTTAAGACATATTAAGTTCACTCATAGATAGTTATTTCATGTATAATATGTCTAATTTATAATTTAACTTATTGTCCCAAATTAATCAGAATTTACAACATTTGAACTAGAATCATTATAGTATTTTATGAATTATTTTAAGATAAATACAGCAAACAGATAATTCCTTAATGAATTAATTAGCACTCCCAATCATTTAGCAAGGATATCATCAACTAATAAACCAGCATTCTCTTACAATAAAATTCAAAATATTTCTTAATGTGTTAATAAAATTTAAAAATGATCAGAAACAAATTACATGATTAGTAAAAAAAACAAACTAAATTTTGATACCTCAAAACATTTTTTATTTCTAAACAAAAAGACAATTGGAAGGAATAAATGTAATTCTTTTATTGCTATTTCTTCATTATAAATCTATAAAATAATTAATTAAATGAGCTCTTGTGTAAAGAGTAATTTAGAGAGAGTATTAAATTCACTTATTAACATGTGAAAAAGAATACATTTGTTTAAAATTTTTTGATATTTTCCTATAAAATTTACTTTGATTTCTTATGAATTCTAAATTTAGTTGCTTGGGATTTAATATTATAATTACAAAAAATACTTACAAAAGTAATCCACTTAATTAACAAATATAAGTAAAACAATCAATAAATGAATTATTATATTCAATTAAATATTTATTGATAAGCAATAGTACGATTCAAAATTTAGTAAAAGCCGAATGAATTTAGTTTAAAATTCTCTTCAGAATTAATGAATATCTTTGCCTTGCTATTATTTTTTTATTTGTTTATTTTAAAGAAACCAAATTGTTATATTAACTTGATAAAGAAAAACCAAATTTGGAATTGATCTTGAATAAATACAGTTTTTTAAAATAAATGGAATAGATATTTGAGTGGAAATTCGATTTAATTTTCAAATCTATTTTTGTTTATTGATAAAAGATAGTTAGATAGATACCCAACTATTAATAAAAAGAATGAATAAAACCAACACTCATCCTTCTAAGTATAATTTCAACCCCCCTTTTTTTAGTATTGTTGTAATAAGATAATTTTATAATAAAACCTGATGGTGCAGCTTAACTTTTTTTAGATTTCTCACTATTCTCATAGAAAAATAATCACAAAGAAGAGCAAACAAGCAAAAAATAAACAAAAATCACATAAATATATTCAAATCTATCTCAATTTATTAAATTTTTTATATTTTTAAAGGTTAATCTATTTATTGATTGATTACATTCATGCATACATATTATTATTAATATTATTTTGAGAAAAAGGAGCAGTAAAATAAAACACCTATTACATACAAGATATTTATTTATTTATCTATTTTTTATTTTAAACAATTTGTTTTCAAATGAAACGAAAATGTCCCTCATCATCCTTTGAGTGCTTAACAATTTTATTATTTTTGACGTCGCTTTTGTTTTACGCACACAAAAGTTGAATTTTATAAAATTAAAACAACAAGTACCTATAAATGTAAAAAACATTTATATTTCACATGCAAGAATATTGAGTCATGTAGTTTACTTAATATTCAAAAAAGACGTTAAAACCTTAGTAAATATTTTTTCAGCTACGCACATTAATAAATAATTTAATAATTAATTAGTTGCAAGCAGTTTAATGAATGAAAAGATATTTATAGATAGATAGATTTTAAGCCAATAAATGCTATTAACAAAATGAAAAATTTTTTTCTATCTATATTTTTTTTTTGATTGCTTGCATTCACTATCAAAATTAATTAATTTGTATAGATTGGAATTATAATTTAGCCAGCTTAAAAATGCTTCAAATTAAAAACTAATGCGTACTCCCCCTTCCAAAATATAACAAAATTTCTTACACATCCTTTTATCTTTTACAAAGTTGTTTCCAAATATCACCACTACTATTCAAATCAGCTCATCTATCTATATACTCAAAATTTTATTTTTATTTTTTTTTGTTACAACATAACAAAATATTTTACATAAAACAATTTTTTTATTTGGATTCAACAATTTTAAATTTTTTGTTTAAAAATAGTCTCTGAATTTTAAATTATTAGAATTTCGTATCTTTCTTTGGCTTTTCTGTTTTATAACAAAGAAATTTAATCATTCATTCATTCAATCCAATCTATTTATTTATCAAGCATTCATGTGATTTTTGACTTTTTTTCTTTCTTTATTATTATGCTCCTTCTTTTGCTTTATATTCAAGAATTTTTCAGATCTACTTTTTGCCATCATAACTCGACCTTGAACCACCTAGTAAAAATATAATTTCTATTTCTGCTACATAGCTTAGCAATCACTTTGCAATTGTAAAACCATTTTTTAAAGATATTTTCAAGAAAAGAGTTTCAGAAAACTAAGTTTCGAATCCATCTTTTTCTACTTCCATTTGATAGAAAATTCATATAAAAACTCACACAAAACTTTCCAGAATAATGAATGAGTGTAATAAATATTTTTTTTTTACATATAAAATAAGTGTAAACAGGTTATTCGTTGTCATTTTAAACGGCAAAGAGCTAAAATAACTCTAAATAGGGCTATGATTTAACTATTTAGAAGAAAAACTCTTTAAAAAGTGCTATTTTTTGAAAGATATGCATATTAACAAAGATAAACAAAAAATCGATTCCAAGGAGAACTAAAATATGTTGAAATACTGGAAAGCTAAATTAAAATTCACAACAAATTAATGCAAATTTTGAAATGTTGAAATCTAACAAAAACATAGATTCATTTCTCAAGATTTCAATCATTTATTTTTGCTTATTTTGAGCTTATTTTCATGAACAATTTTTAAAAGTACCAATCAAGTTTATTTAATATTTTATTTTTTTACTAAAATAGAAAAACAAAACCCTAAAATAGGTTCCTGAAACAAAATTTGAAATTCAAATGGCGATTTAAAAAAACCATACAAAATCACTTCAGAGAAATTCCAACTCATTAAAAGGGTTTATTCTTATTAGAAAAAAGTACTAAACATATATAGAATCTTTTATGGTACTCTCCTATCACTCAGTAGCATTTAAAAGTAGTATTAAAGCTTTTAATAATATTGTTCGAGTGGATCAAAGTTTTGAATAAAAGACAAACATGATTTTATAGTAAACCTAAATTGCAAGCAAATGAAAACATTAATTCAAAAAAAACTGGAACAAATACCAAACAGAAGACAAACACAGCATGATATATCCCATCTAAAAAAGACATATTTCACTCCAAATCAAATATGACAAAACTATAAATGAGCCAACAAAAAGAAAGAGATGTTGATAGTTATTTTGATATATAGATTGATAGAGATAAAACAATAAAAGAAAAGAAAAATAAGACCAACAGAGAGACTCAAATAAGACTCAACTACACTAAATAAAATAAGCTTAATATTATTTTAAATAAATTACAAACAAAATGAATAAAATAGATTTTCATTCATTAATTTCAAATATTTTAAGTAATAATGAATGAACAAATAAGTGAATAATTAAAAGAGAACTAAATGAACAAAAGAAAAAAAGTTTATTTATTTATTTTTAATATGATGAAAATGAAAAATATTTGACAACGAAAAAGATGAATAAATGAATGAAAGAGAAGAAGAATGATTTGTTTGTTTCTTTGTTTTCTTTTTGATTTCTTCTCTCTTTGATTTTTTTATTAATTTTTTTGTTTTTTGAATTTTGAGTTTGCGTGGTGAGGGGATAAATAAATAGGGCAGGCGCGTGAGCTGCATTAATGTAGTATTAAAGTTATTATGAGTTATTATTTGATTGTTAGCTAAAGTGATATCATCATTGAATAAATAAAATTTTGGTGTAGTAAATAATTAAAAAATCTTGAGGGGTTGGGTGAATTAAAATTTTTGAATAATGAGTAATAATATGGGTAGGAAAAAAGAATATCAATTAAATAATCAATGATGAACGTAATGTTTATCAATAACTATACAAAATCAAAGAAAAATATGACAATATTATTAATTAAGCAAGCAAGAGAAAGAAAGAAATAAAAAGTAAAAAAATTAAATTAACAATCAAAATCTTAACTTTACGATTGATTGATATCTGTTTATTTTTCATTGAAATTATTTAAGAAAGAAAGAAGATAAACTAATAAATTATTAAATAGACTGGGGTGTTTTTATCTTTCTTTGTTTATTTTGATTTTTGTATGTTTTTTTGCATGCATGCTTATTTTTGATTAAAAAAGTAAAGTAATATAAAAAGACGAGAAAAGAAAAAATTGAATACAAGCAAAAAATTAAATCATAAAAACAAATAAAGACTAAGCAAAAAAAAGAAAACAATACTTTTCATTTTCAAGGCACAGCCCAACAGCCAATCAGCTTCAAAACACAAATTTTCATAATCGTTTGCAACTATCGATCATACCTGCTTGCATCCTACAACATTTCCTCATCGAACTAGATCTAATCAATTAGATTAAAATCCCTAAATAATAAATCTACTCATTACTAATTTCAGAAAGTCCACCTTGGAAAACATTTAATTAATAAATCAATCAATAATATCTAAAGAAATTAAACAGAGTCTTCAAAGAGTCTTTTCATACAATACTCTAACTATCTAACTAGTTATTTATTAACTAATTAATTAATTTAATAATTATCTCGTTCCAATCAGATTCGCTCTACTCGATTCTAAAATTAGATTCTCTATAGCTGTTTCTCACATTTAAATAACATAAGATCAAATTTTCTTTTATTGAAGAAGGACATACTGATCCATTGATATCTCTTAAAATATTTTTGACTGCTTAAAACGATAACCTAAAATCTATTTTGAATTTATACTTGATAAGCTTCTGATTTACTGACAAAAAGAGCTAATTTAAGCTCATTTCATTTATACATTAACTTATTGCTCAATTATCTTACATTATTTGATAATCTACCTACCTAGATATATAACAACATCGATCTATATATTTAACTTACTTGATAAATAGTATAAGACATAATTTCTTTTATTAACATCTATTGCAACCATAAACAAATACAAATAAATCATCCCTAAATTATTAACTATCACTCCATCAATTAAGATCTCATTGCTAAGAAAGTAATTGACAATCACCTAATTAATATCTATCTATTTATCTGACTAAATTATTAACTTGATCCTAAATAAACCTAACTATATTTCCCTAATTTATTATTTATTGAAATGGAAGACATTGATAGCCAACAAAACCTTGAATTCGTTTGTGAACAATGCAAACGTACTTTTTCTAAAAAGAGTAAATTATCTCGTCACGTTCGTGAATCTCATCTTAATATTAAGAACTTCACTTGCACATAATGCAACAAGACTTTCAAGCGTAATTCCCATTTGAAACGCCACATGATTTCTCACTCTGCTGAACCTAAACCATTCAAATGCAGCCAATGTACTATGCAATTTGCTTGTAAGCACCACTTAGAAAGACATATCAAGACTCTTCATGCTGAAGATTTCCCTTTCTAATGCGAAATTTGTCCTTTAAGATTCCCTAAACGTGCCTGCTTGTACAAGCACTTAACCTTCATCCACAACTTAAAGAAGCCTTACAAATGTGGTGAATGTGACAAGGATTTCTTCAAGAATGGATAACTTATCCGCCACTTAAAGAGAGTTCACCCTAATTCTTTCAATGCTTAACAATAACTCATGGAAGCTTAAGACTACCAAATCTAATAACGCATTCAAGCCAATCTCGCTTTGAAAAACGATAAAAAAGATGGCAAATTATCCGCTGATCCTACTAAATACTCTAGCTATATGAATAACTAATCTAATCCTACTGCTACTATTTCCACCTTCAATAACGATAATGCCTATTACTCTGAATCTTTCTAGAAGAATCAGCAAAACGCTACTTGCTATTACTATTCACTTGAAAATTAAATATAGAATCTTAACAGTCTTAACGGAGTCTAACAATATTAACAATAACAACAATAGCCCTAATCTTCTGCTACTTCTGTTATTTCCTTCTCTTCTTCCTCTTATCCTTCTTCCACCTCTCCTGCTAACTTCTACGACCAAAGCTAGTACTTCAAAAACATGACTGATAAGTATGGTTATGATGAAATCGAAGGCGATTTATATGATGAAGAAGATGATGAAGATGATGATGATGATGAATCTGAAGATGAAATCTACAATATGATGTTTAAGCAAGGCGAACTTAAGAATAATAAGAAAATTTAATAAGATGATGATGAAAATTCATTTTACCTCATTTCTGCTGCTGCCAACGCAGCTTCTTTGAGACCTCCCCTCAAAAAGGAAAAGAAAATAAAAAAAGAATCTAAGAATGCTCCTTTTGGTGGTAGAAAATGTAATTCTTCTGCAAATAGAAAATAAAGCACCAAGAACGAAGAAATTTACATGCTTGATAACAACCAAATCAATAACTTCGAAGAATAGATGCTTCCTCTCCAAAAACGCAAGCTCAGCGAAGAAATTTTCTGTCATCTTGGCCTTATTGGTAATAGCACTGCCTAAAACAACTTCAATAATCTGAACTCCTACTTTTTGGCTGCTGAAGACGAACTTAACAACGCCAATTAATAGCTTTAATTACAACAGTAACAAACAATTGAAGGCTGCAGCGGACTCGAGAATAACTTTTTGAATTATTCTTCTGCCTACTTGCCTTAATCATTCGGATTAACTCCTGCAGGTGCTACTGTTGCTTAAAATGCTGTATGTTCTGCTTCATAGGAAAATAGCAGCAACGAAAAATAATAATAATAATAATAAATATGCACAGAAACATTGATAAATAACGGTAGTAGCAGCAGTAGCAACGGCAACAACGTAGCAGTACAATAATAATTTATCAATAATAATAACTTGAATAATATATAAAGTAATATTTATTATTAACAAAAACATGAACAAGAATAGTAATGCACCGCCGCAGCCTCCTCCTAACAATTTGGCAGCAATACTTGGCCTTTATGTTAGAGTGGCTCAGCTATTTAAGGAAGTACAACAACATAAAAAGTCTGCTACGTGCCTGGCTGCTCTACTTCATCAATGCAACCGACACAAAAATAATACTAACAACAGTAATAATAATCACAAAATTCTTACACATAAACATCACAATAATAGTTAACATCCTAAGTTCCTGTGATGAATACTGCTACTGGTGTATTTAATAAACCTCAGCAACAATAATCATCACATTCCCTCGGAATATAAAATAATAATAACTTTTCTCATTAATCTTCCTCTCAGTCTGAGCCTTTCTCAGTCAAGAATGAAGACAACGGAAATAATACTCTCTTACCTATTATCTACCCTGTGGAGACTTTCTTCAACAACGCTCAATACAGCCAAGAAGAAGCTGTCTATCCATCTCAAAGCAGCCAATAGAACGAAGTGAACTTTGACTTCTTGAATCTGATGGATTATAACAACGGCAACTAGAACCACAATAGCAGTACCAACTACCACCAAATGCTTAACTCAGATTTCCTCCAAATGAATAGCATTTTGATGATGGACTACTCATCCAAGCTCCAAAACTCTCAGTACTAGATCCCTCAGGTAACCTTCAAACTATCTTTTATTATTACTATTAATATGAATTTTTTGCAAAGTATTTCAAAGTAAGCAAGCAATAAAAATCTTAATGAACATACAAAAAGATTTATTTTTTTAATATTTTTTTTGATTAAATGATTAATTTTTTGGAAAGATTTCAGTCTTCTTTAAATTTAGTTAAATATTTGCTTATAATACTCTTTCAATCTTCCAAATTCTAATAAAAGTAATGAGAAAGAGAAAATGTTATTATCATTTTCTTTCCATTTGATTAATTTTATTTTTATTTACTAATTATTAATTCATTGAGCTCAATGAAGCTCTGAATGAAATTCAAGAAATAGAGAAAGAGGAGAGTAAGATAAATAGATAGAAATAGAGAGGGAGAGAGAAAGAGAGACAAAGAGATATATTTTTTTACTCAAATTGTTAAATTTTTGAATACCAATTCGCTTATTAACTAATTAATAACTCTTTCCCTCTATCTATTTACCAAATAATCAAGAAAGAATACAATTTATTTAATTATTTATTTCATTTATTTGATTTTTATTTTTTTTCGATTTTCTCTCTTCAATTCATTAATTAGATTGATTATTTCTTTGTTTGATTGATTGATTGATTGACGATATGAATATTATTTTTGTATTTTATTATTGAACGCATCACAAATGAATGAATTTTATGATTGATTGATGTACGCTCTTTCTTTTTCTTGATTTCCTCTTTTTTTTTGTTTCTTTAATTTTTTGAATTTTTAGAAAAAAAAATTATTAAAAAAAATTATATATTTTGCCCCCGATCTACTCACTTTTCACATTAAATTAGTTCTTCTGATTTCTTTCCCCCAAAATAAATCCACTTTCCTTCTTTCTTTCATCAAGTGATTGATTTAATCCAATTTTACTAAGAAATTAAATCGTTAATATTTAAAAATCCAATTGATTGATTGATAGATTGCCCCCACTTTTTATTAATAAAGCTATTCGCTTGCCTAACAAAGTTAAGATAAATATCTTGATAATTATTATAATATTTCATTTGAATACCACCTTGCCTGTTCCCTGCTTACTTTCTAATCCTTAATTACTTTGCCTTTCTATTCCATTAATATAAACTTTCAAATTTCATCTTAACTTATTTCTAATTATATCAAAATAGATTGTACTTCCTTTATCTTAAAACGGCTTACATAGTTCATAACACATTGGAATTAACTATGCTTCCATTGCCAAAACTATGTGAGAAACCCTTGCATACAACGCATAACACTTCTAAATTGTAACAAAAGTCACTCACTATATGCATGCCTCAAATATATAAATAAATATCATCTCATCTTTCCTTTACCCTTCCATTATTTATAAATCTGAATTGTATATAAATCTTGCCACAACTCTACCTATAAAAACATCAATAATAAATATCTATATAATAATAATAATATTTGCAACCTTTTGAAGCAGTTTCCTTTCATACATAATTCAACATTTATAAAACAAAGAGACAACACACAACTCTACCAATCTAAAACTTAATAATTCTATATCACTCAATCAATTACATCTGAAACTCTCAAAACTGCTACTGCGTCTAACTTCTGAATTAGCTAAAAGCTAAACTAACTACTTTCACTTTCTTACTAACCATTAAAAGACAACATTCTTATAACAATCCGAAAAATATGAATCCATCAAAAGGAAAGCCAAGAGAGAAACATGTATCGACATACAAAATCCAGAGATATATAAAGAAAAATTATGCTAACATAAAAGAAACTGCTTGTTTAACAAAATTTATATAAAAAATAACAAATAATTTTGCTTCGACTGGCGGCATCTAAACTTCTACTTGCTGCTATTTAATTAGTTAGCTAGCTATCTTAATTTTACCAGTCAAGCAATTCAAAAAAAAAAAATTAATAACTATCAATCAATAAATAAATGTACGAATCAATTTAACTTTACTTTCTTACTTAACTAACAATTTAATTTATTAATTATAGTAACTAAAATTGAATTTTATATATCAAAAGTATTGTATAACATAACACAATTTATGACCTCCTTCTTTCTATAAAAAAAAAACGATATATAAAGATTTTATATATCTTTTTTCCTTCTTTTCTCTTCTCTTTCTTTTTCCCTTTTACATTTCTGTTCATATTAATTATGAAGCTCTCTCTCTCTCTACCTATCTCTTCCTCACTCTCCTTTCTTTTTGATAGCTGATTTCTATGGAAACTCATCTCAACTACTAACTAATTAACTCTATAAATAACTTCTTCTCTCTCTCTTCTCAATCTTAAATCTTAGACAATATACTTATTTCTTATGATCAATAACTACCTTCCTTTCATTCTTTATTTCTTTCTAAATACTGAATAAACAAATAAATAAATTAATTGCCTACTTGCTGTTTATTTAAAGGCTAAATCAAAATTAAATAATAAATTACTATTTTATTATTTTTTAAAACAAAAATAACTTTTAGCCTCTATCTCTCTATCTCTGTATTACTTAGGAAGAGTTTTAATCAATTGAAGAATATTTATATATTTTTCATTTCGACAAGCACCATTTACGATTACTTATTTAATTCTTTCTTTATCTTTAAAAAAATTAATTTAAAGCCTACAATAGAGACAACAAAATAATCTCCTAATAATTCTAAAATCAAATAAACTTATTTATTTACCTCAAATAATAACCAAACAAACAAATTAACAAATCCAAACAAAACTATTATTCTTACTTAGTATTTTAAAAACTTAAAAAATTAGCTAACCAAATTAATTGAGCGCTACCTTTTTACTTAATAACCTTTCAAATTGATTAAAGATTAAAATAGAAATAATTTATACAAATATTTTTTACGAATGAACCATTTATTTTTTTTTAAACATCTTATTTTTAATATAAATAAAAATAAGAAAAAGAATAAAAATTAAATTGGTAAAAACGTAATAAACATTTGTATCTTTAAATTAATAACTTAACTCACAAATATATCTTAGCTTTCTAAAAGACAAACAGACTGACATGACAGATGGATAGATAAAACTTAATAAAAAAGTATTTAAACTTTAAATTGATAAAGAGAGATATAAATAGATAAAGCTAGTAATCTCATAAACGTTCACATCTGATACATTTAAATTTAACTAAATCTTTATCTATTAATCTATTTTCTCTCAAAAAATTTAATCTTTATTAATGATCAAACAGATAAATAAATAATCATTCAGTCAATAACTAACTATTTTCCTTCATAAATATTCATGAGCATTTGAATTAATGCAAAATTGGTATTAAGAAGACCTAACTAAAAATAATTACAGTTTTTTGATTGATATATATTTGAAATGAGCTAAGTTAAAATTCTATTATCAAATTTTAATTATTACTTTCACAGTAGCACAAACTATTTTTAAATTAAGAGCACTTGCTTTAAACTTAATCATTATTATTTATATATTAAGGTATTCCTTTTTATTTATTTATTTATTTTAAAAATTTTCTAAATTAGTGTGAATACACTTACCTAACTATAAAAATAATTGAATTATTTAATTTTTTTTTAGTAATTCTTCATTTCTTTTTTTAAATAAAAACTCTTTTTGTTTCATAGTCAAGCATATTCATATATTATTTTATCTTCCAAACATTCAGCTTTAAGAAATAAATCATTTTAGTAGAGTAAATGAATATCGATTATAGTAATTTATTAAAGTTATTCTAAAAATATTGAGATTTCAGGCATTAAATTTATTTTTATTATTTTATTTTATAATTATCAAAAATCTTTATTTCTAATTATTAAAGTTTGCAAAATATCATCCAGCCAAATCTAATGACAAAAACAATAACCTAACTTTTAAAAGTATTCTTTTTATACATAGAAATATAAATAAATCTATCTTACTAACTAAATAACTACCTTTATATTATTAATATTTTTAGATAAGGTAAGATTTAAGCTTTCAATATCGAAACAATTTTAAGTTTTTGTATATTTTCTCATTGATAATTATAAAAATTGACTATTTTTTTTCAATAAATAATATTAATAAAAATTGATTGATTTTGATTTTTTTATATATAGCATGACTAAATAATTACTTATTTTAAAGGAAAAAATATTTTTATAAATTGTTAAATGTATTTTATGACTAGTAAGTAGGTAGGTGATGATTTTTAATTTACAAAAATATATTAATTTTTAATCATGCTAAATTTAGTTTAATGTTTTTACTCTTTCTTACAATTTATAATGATTTAAGTCAATGAAATATTAATGAATTTTAAATTTAATTGTTTGGTTTTAATGATTTTCTTTGTATTTTCTATTTTGATGTTGATAAAAATAATTTTATTTTGAATGTGTTTTTTTGATTTGCTTTAAAAGAAAATAAATATACAAAAAAATAGTTGTGCTAAATCTTAATAATTTGCAGAGTTTATTTAGTTGATGCAATTTTAAATACCATCCAAAGGAATCAATACTATTAAGATTAAAAATAAATATATTACTTGATAAAGAGTTATTTATTTATATTATTTGATTGTAATAGTAAAGAATCACTTTATTTAGGAAAGTAAAATGGCTCAAATATTAAAGGGAAGGATGAAACTTCTGACTAAGGAAAGTTGGGAGTATAATCCGAACACTAAAGCAAATATAGATTTAAAAAAGGAAGCTCAACTGCGTAAAGAATCAATTAAATTTATGATGAGTTTAGGAGTTGAATCTCTCCATTTGCCTTTAAGCACTGTAAATATTAATAATAATAAAAATTTTACTTTGTGCAAATGAATATTGCTGAGATTTTGAAGCAATTTTTTATTTTAATTTGTTTGATCCTTAGCATTTATTTTCATTTATTAGTTAAAAGCTTTTTTTAAATGTTTATTTTATTGATAAAGGTATAAAAGGCCATAGTTATTTTCTAAAGATTCTGCTAAAATGTTTCTTTCAAGAATTTTGATAGATTTTTGTATGGAACTGTTAGCATTTTATTAATGGCTAAGGACGATTACCATTAAAGAAGATTGGAAGATACAATAAAATCTTTTCTAATTGTAGCATAAAAAATGAGACTTTAATAATTCAATAAGTATGTAGATCCAAACCGCCTTGAAACCAAAGAATAATAGGAAGCTTATTTACAAAAGCTTGGTCCAAAGGCAATCACAATGCATCATGAAAACTTTTAAACTGCAGAAATAGAAATATTATAAATGTCAGGTAATTAATTACAAAATTTATATTAATTGGGTTCAAAATTTTTCAAAAAAAGATGCAAATCGAATTAAAATTTAGTTTTTTTGACATCATATAAATAGACACTTACTTGAATTTATTTATTTAGCTTAGTATCTATATTCAATTAATAGTTTGCTGATAAGTAGATTTATCATTTAAAATTGTAAAATTAATAGGATATGACTTGGTTGTTGAAGTAACTAGTAAGTACTTAGATATATTTAAAAAGAAATATAACGGCATTACAGATAAAATTGTCTTTTAAGACTTAATCTAGCTTGCAGAAGAAAATACCAATACAATTTATATGAGTAATTTGTGTTTGTACTTCCATCCTATGATCCTAACCATAGTTGCAATCCAAGCTGCTGCTGAAAAATTAAATTGTAATTTACCAAACATCCAAATAGAGTCTAATGAATAAAAACAAGAAGATGATGATTTTGGCGATATTGACATCCCTGCTTAGTAAGTAGAGTGGTGGTAAATGTTTTCCAAAAGAATACAAAAAGAAGATATAAATGACTGTATGTAATACTATCAAGATTTTATAAAACTTTTAAATTGAATGTTAATTTATTTATTTATTTACTCTGTTGAAGAAATTGTCAATTTCTTTTTAAAAATAAATTTAAAAATTCTACTTTTTTAATCATATTTATAATTTCAAAAAACAGCATTTATTACTGATAAAAATAAATGCAATTTAATAACTTTTGATATAAAGTTTTTATTTTACTATATTTTAAAGTAAAATAATTTATGTTCAATAAGTAAAATTTATTTTTAATTTTCTAATTCGTATTTATTATTTCCAAAAAATCAGGATAAAAAGAAATACAATTTAATAAATTTTGATAAAAAGTATTCAAGATTTATTATTAATAAAAATAAATTCAATTTAATAACTTTTAATCTAAAAAATTTCATTAAAATGATTTTGATATTTTAAAGTAAAATAGTTAATATTGAATGGATAAAATTAATTTTAATTTTCTAATAATTATTTATTATTTCTAAAAACTATGAATATATTTTTATTGATTTAAAACCTAATATTATTACTAAAAAAAAAATATATCACACTTTAATAATAAAATATTACTTGATTAGAATTTTTATTAAAAATTTTAAAAGAACAAAATAAAATTATTAATTATTTTTAAATTTAAGAATAAATTTGGATTCTAAGTAGAAATTATAGTAAATATTTAATAACACACTATTTATTGTTTTCAAAGAAAAATAGTGTTTGAGTAATTAATAATAGGTAATCCAGAACTACTTACTCCTGAAATGAATAAGTAGTTCAATAAAGCTTCTTTTTTATAATCATAATTATTTATTTGATTAATCCATTTAATCTCTTATGATGGTATTCTTTCTCATTTTTTTCTTAGTATTTATCAATCTAAACTAATTTTATTTTTGGTCATTAAGTTTTTTTGCATATAAAGTATCATTTAAGATAATCGATATCTTACATGAGTTTTTAAAAAATTTGATTATTTTAGAATTTAGAAGTTTAAAGTTTATATTAATTTATTGATTAATTATTCAATTGATTGATTGAGATAGAGAATCAAATTAATTGATATTTTTAGAAAAGAAGAATATTATTTGATTTTTAATTAATATTTTTGTAGAAATATGGATAAAGAGTAGCAGCAGAATTATTTGTAAAATCATTAACAAGGAAGTAATTAGATGAATTAACAACAATAGGCTGCTTAAGGATAGATGACTGGAGGGATGTGGCTTTTAACAAAGGAAGATTGGGTGCTCATTAGGCCAGATAAAAGCAAGAAACAGTCAATAGAAGATGTGAAACAAGCAAATTCAGTAGCAAAATTTATAAAAATGTTTGCAGAGGAATTCGAGTATTATTTCAGCGATATGTTGAAGCTAGGGACACAAACAGTAAGTAAAATAAATAAATAACAAAAATTATAAGTTTAAAGCAAATAAGAAAAAGCTAGCAAATGAAATTAATACATTTCGCCAACTATTGATCATTTACATTTATTTTATAAAGAATATAAAAGCTTAAGTGTTCTATCATAGAATCAAAGCATTGAAAAGAAATCAACAGCTCGATGACAATTTGTATGCAATAACTTGTTTATTTTTAGCAGCAAAGTTAGATGACACTCTATTCAAAAGTGAAATGTGTGTTGAATTTTACATTGCATTGTAACAGTATTTGAAAGTTGATGCCACATTCAAGCCTCATGCCTTCAAAGCATTAGTTTCGATTAGCAAATTAGATGAAAGAGCAAAATCACTGAGAAAACAGACATTAAAATAAATTATTGAGCAAATTCCAAAGCATAAAATTCAGTAGGAAAAAGGAAAATTATTATTTGCTGAAAATGATATTTTGGTGTCTTTTGGTAATTTATATATTAACTAGCAAACAAAAAAACTAACTAACTAGAAAGAAGATATTTATAAACACTAACAATTTATTTAACAGGATATGATTTTGTAGTAGACACAGCGCTTCCCTATGTCGATTAATTTGTTAAATCCTACAAAGAATTTATCAATAAGCAAAAAGAGCTATAAGAACAAAGGTAATTAATCCCTTAACTTAAACAAAAAAACTAGCTAAATTTTTATACTTTCTAATTAATTCATTGGCTATTTTACTGAAATCAATTATTAATTGAATTCAAAACCATTAATTAATCAATTGATATTTAATTATTGAATTTATTAAAATGAAAATCAATCATTCAATATTGTTTTTTCAAATAATTCTATCACTCATTCACATAAATGTTATATTAAACTTATTATGATAATTAACATTTATTTTAATTATTTTTTGAAAACAATAACTATGAATGAATTTACAATAAAAAAACATTATTGATTTAATTTTACTTTATGAAAGTCTAATTAATAATTTTATTTTTTGTTTATTCTAATTAAATATTTCTGTTCAAATATTTGTAACAAGTAATATTTATTCATTTTCAGTATTATTAATCTACTTTATTGTATTAATAATCTATTACAAGTTTACATATTAAATAGACTTAACTCATTCAAAAAAATCAAGATATTTCTATTGAACTCAACTTTTGGCATTATTTATTTCTTATTTTTTCCAAAAAATACTAATAATTATGAAAATATTTATTATGGCAAGCAATATTATTTATTCAAAATTAATTATTAATGATATTGCAAACTTTACTTTATTTAGTCCTAGTATAAATATTGATAATGATTAAAAATTTTCAAATTTCATATTAGTAAAATATAATTTTGACAATCATTTCTATAGTTGTCAAAAATACTTGTTTAAATTATTAATGCTAGACTAAATATTTGCTTTTATTTCTATTAAAAAGATAATTTTATATTCAATTTGTTAAAAATAGTAATTGAATGAGATTGAATTTATTTATTCTATTTGATACTTTCATTGAAATCATTAATTTCTAACAAAGTTTTTCATTTAATTTAATATTATATCTATTAAATATGAACTAATTTATCTTTAAAAAAAACAATGGCTAATTTTTATTTAATATTTAATATGAATTAATATTAGGTAATTAAGTTTGGATTAATTTATTAAAACCTTTCTTAGTTTCTTATTAGATTTATTTTTTAATTTCTTAATTATTTGATAAATTCTTTTGATTTTTAAGAAGTAATAGTTGAAATTAGATATTTACTTGGAAAGCCCACTAAATTTACTATTTTGATTTTTATAAGTGTAAGAAAGCTCTTGTACTTATGCAAAATAAAAGGCCATTATCTAAAAGCAAAATTAAATTTTTGATATTCTTTTCACATAGCTTTCTATTTCAAAAAAAATATATTTTATCAATTGAATACTTGTAATTTCATAATTATTCTTTACTATTATAATAAAAATTTTTAAATATCTCCATTCTTTGTTGTTATATTTTAAATTTTTGGTGTAGACTTCAAGCCAAACCTTCTTTGAATATTCAGAAATTCCTTTTTAATAATTTTAACGTTAAAATATTTTTAATTTAGGAAATAAAAAGAAGAAGCTAAACAAGAAGGCGAAATGAAATAAGAGATACAATAAGATGATAAAACTGATACTATAGAGAAGTTGCTCAATACAGTTTAATTTTGGGGAAACGATGTTTATCGTTCGAATTTATGTCTTTATTATACACCAATTCAACTCACATTAACAGTATTAAAAAAGGCTTAGCAGACTGAGCGCGTTGTATTTCCTGATTACAATGGGCAACCTTGGTGGAAATTTTTCAACGAAAAGTATAACGCTAATATATAAAGTGAAGACGATTTCAAAGAACCTCTAATGTACTTTAATAATATAATTGCCATGCTTAAGTCATGATAAAACAAATGGAAATATCTATATGTTGTTATCTTTAAAAAAAATCAAAGAGTGATTTCTTATATTTTCTAATACATTAATTAATTCTTTCAAATGAAGTTAATTTGTGCTTGGTTCTAAGGAATTAAGTACCCTTTTTTTATGAAGAATTTTACACAGCGATAAGAATGAAATTAATTATTTATCACCCAATCAATCAGTTTATTTATTTGCTATTTATTGTTTAAAGAAACTAAAATTTGCATTCTACTTTATTATTTTTTTTTGTAATTTGATTGACTTCTTGTTTCTTTGCTTGCCTGTCTGTTTATTTGTTTTGGCTTATCCTTAATTTTTAGTTGGTGATAAGCTTATTGTATTTATTTAATTTAAAATAAGACGAGTATTACTTCAAATAGCTATTATTAAACATAATTTATAGTAAAAAAGATTTATTTATAATATCCAATATACAAAAAGAGAAGATAATTTATTACAATATAAATAGTTAAATAATAGATAGGTTCAGACACTTAAATGGCTAATAATAACTTACACTTAAATTTAAAAGAAGCTATTTTAATAGCTTTGCTATTTAGCATGATGTAGCTCTCATTTGCTGATGAGGTAGTTTAGAAATTAGAGAAGTAGTAGGACTTTTCCAAGTCAATTGTTTTGAATTAGAAGTTACTCATTGATTATGACAGAGATATTTTTAAACACGCCTATTTCATAGATTTTGATGACACTTCAAAAAGCGATAATGATTTTTGCATTGTAAAGCAAAGAACTGTGGTGTCTAGCTCTAAGATCGAATAAGATTTCGATTTTAATGATCTTAAATTAACAGGAAAGGACGAAATCCTAGCTTTCTAACTTGTTGGATCTAATTTTGTAAGTGTTTCAAAATTGGGAATGGTCAGCTTGTTTTCAATCAGCAAGGATTCTTAGAAATTAGAATTCATTGAATCGATTAATCTAAATATTTAGGAAGCCTTAGACTATTAGCCAATTATTCTCGCTAAAGATCAAAACCAATCATTGATTTTGTTTAAGAACTAAATTTCAATCATTGATCTAAAAAGCAAAAAAGCAGTCTCAAACAAAGAGGTTAATCTTTAGAATATGACAAAAAATGCAATTTATGTTGATGAAACTCTTTATGTTCCTTTAAGAACTGAAGGATTACTTGTAGCCAAACTTCAAGTTGATGCATCAAATAACATTGTTATTTAATAATAAAGCAAAATTACATAATTTAACAGCAATACTCAATAAAATAATTGTGATGTTACAGACATTTACTACTCAAAAAAGACTAATCAGTTCTTTATTCTTGATTACAAATATGGCATTTATGTGACAAACGATCAAATTAATAGCCTTATTCATTATATCCCAAAAATTAATAGTGGTTACTCTTTTTCTATTTATGAAAACTCCAACAATGAAATCACTATAGTTGTCCTTTTTTAGAAAGTCATCTCTCCAATGGTAATTAAAATAATAATAAAAATAGCAAATTAACAAAGTAAATTTTTTATTACTAAATAGGGAATTTCAGTTTATCTTAAAGAGAAAGATACATCTTCATCAACCTCTAGAAAATATATCCATGAAATAGATTAACCCATTAGATTGCTAGAAGCAGAAAGAAGCAAAGTCTTTGCTTTCGATCACTTTGCATTATTTTAGGGAAAGTCTACTCATGCATTAAGCTACCACTCAACTTTTTAAAACAGATAAAGCAACTACTATAACAGAATTCCTGATTTCTTGACAAAAGATAAAACAAACACAATTATCATTGTCTCTAAAGACCTCAGTCCCTACAATCAAACTGACAATGACTTTTTAGTTTTTTCTTTCTTCAATAAAGGGTACTAAGTGAGTTAATTGGCTGTTCAAGCACCTTAACTTACTTGCTAACCTAAGTTAGAGAGTGATTTAGGTCTCTACAACTACCAGATTTCTTTATATTCGAACCATTGCCTTAACGAAAACACTAGCAGTAATTAAATTTCTTTGTTTAAACCTAAAAAACAAATAAATAAACAAGCAAAAAATAAAATGAACAAATAAATAAATAAATAAATAAAAAACATAAATTATAAATTATTTTTGTTAATAATTTTAGGTATATGGATAGAATGTTTGATATCTCAAAATATCACAGTCGACGTGGAGAATATCATTGTTGACGAAAGCAACGGATTGCTTATAGCAGCTATTGTTTTGTTGACTATCTTATCTGTAATCATACTCATATTTGTTATATATAACACAATTAGAAAATACAAAGCGAGAATCTAAGGTTTGGAAAGAGAATTCGTACAATTGTCAGCAGATAACAAAAAATTCAAATACTAAGAAATGGAACAAGAAGTTTGATTCTTTTTGTTTAAAGAACCATCATTATTAACTATCTAATAATAATTACAATCATTATATTAAAATTAAATTATATAATTTTTAAATAACTAATCAATTAATCAATCAATCAATAAATCAAAAACTAATTAACAGTATTTATATGTATTTCTCTTTATATTTGTATATATTTACTTGCTTGCTACTTACTCTTTAACTTTAATATTTTTTAATGAGTACAAACCCAAAATAAATATAAAATAACCATTTATACTATAGCGGATATTATTTTTAAGACATTTAATTTATAAAAAGAATATAAAATACCATCGGTCTTTATTTAACAATGATATTAGATTTTATTTATATCATCTTTATCAAAAAAAATTTATTATTATTGTAAAAAATTACCTCTAAAAAGGCATTTTTTAATTAAGCTTTTTACCTTTTAAATGAGCAATGAATCTTATTGAATAGTAAATTGCTTAGATAATTTACAAATTAAAAAAAAATAAGATACACTAATTAAAAATAAAAGAAAACAATAAACACATATAGGTAAAAGATATTAGTGATTTATTTTTTTTGTAGTGAGATTGTGGAACGCCCTTTGATTTGATCTAAATTTTGTTAATATTCTAACAATTTTTAAAAAAAATAAAATTTAAAAGCAATTGCGAAAAGGAAAAACAATCTAATAAACATACAAATAATATATCGAATATAAATAATTCTTTGATAAAGACAAAATACTTTAATAATAAGATAAATAAAAATTTTTAAAGACAATCTTTTAGTTTGTTAATAGATAAAATAGATTCGAAATAGAGAAAATAAATAACAGAATTAGACTAACCTCTTTTTGCACTCAAAATGAATTAATTAGCATGTACATTAAACTAACATTTATCATTTTTAATAGGAAAATGCACAAATTATAGTTGTGGACATGAAATTTGCAATGCTTGCATAGATAATCATAAACTTCACAGAAATTGCATTATGATGTATTAATAAAATTTTTAAAATTAAGGTAATACATAAAATGTGAATGGGTAATAATACATGGGCAACAACAATTAATTTGTATTTGAGAATTAAATAAAATAAGCACTCAGCAATTTTGATTAGCAATTTGAGTAAAATTAAAAAAGACTTAATGAGTTTATACAAGAATAAAAGGAGATCATGAGATAATAATTTGAATAATTTTTGAGAGATGAACCCTAAAATGTGCTGTAATTTATCAGAGGTTAGATTGAACCCATATAGAAGCTATTTGATTGTATTAATGATAGCATAAAACAATAATACAGCTAAAATGAAACTTAGGTTAATATCGATTTTACTTCTTATTTGGATAAATTTGGCATTCCAGATTTCATGAGAGAGCAACTAAAAAAGTTCAATTTTAATTTAGATGAATTTGAAAATGCGGAGTCTTAGGATTTGATAGAAGAGGACAGAGAGAAATCACTAATTATTGGACAGAAAGATAATAAAAACTAATACAGTGGTAGAGCTCTTATCATTTACAAAAGTGATCCAGCAGCGATTTATTTAGGATATATGAAAGATAACAAACGTCATGGAAGAGGTATTCTTGTCTTGAATGGATTTTAGTACTACTTAGGAGAATTCTACAATAACAAAGAATGGGGTTATGGAGAAATACAATTAATTAACAAAGAAAACAAGAATGAGAAGTATGTTGGTTACTTCTCTGAAGGCAAGAGATGTGGTTCAGGTTAGTAAGTGAATTTGGACACTAATACTAAAGAAGAATCAACTTATGTATCAGTTAATTATTTTAATGAGAGTCTCCATGGACCTAGAGTTCAAAGTTTTGGATAAAGTTAATAATACAAATTCTAGCTCTTCTAGTATGAAAAGAATTACTTCTCCTTTAAAGATCAATGGAGTGATAAGGCTCCTTTATAAAATATTTTTGTATCTACCAAAGGCAAAACAGAAGGCTAGGCTCTGAATTTGTCTCCTGAGCTTTCTATTGACCACTCATTCAAAGAAGATCAATAGATTAATTAAGAACAACCAAATCCTTATGAGATTCCTTCTATTAACTAGAACAACTTTCCCTAAAATTAATAATTTGGATAACAAAATTTCTAAAATAACCCATATTTTATGGCTCCACCTTAAAATTACATGCAAAATCCATAAAATTTCATGCCACCATAACAAGGTATTCCTTTTCCACCACAATACCCATATTAAAACCCATAACAATAGTTTCCACTTAATCCAAATGCTTAATTTTAATAATAATAAGTTTATAAGAGCGTAATTAAACAAGTTATTTTTGATAACATTAATAAATAATGAACATAAATTCGAATTTTAAATGTTTTTATATCTATCTTGAATGCTAATTAAATTCATTTGTAATTTATGTTTTTAATCATGAATTTGTTATTTTAGAAATTTACAAATTATTTTGTTTATTTTTTTATTAATCCTTTTTTTAATTTTTGTTAAATTTAAGTATTTATTTAATTAATCTAAAAATTCTAATTTATATTTTCTGCTTTTAAATGTTTATCAAAAAAAAATTTTTGTTTTTTTTTAAAAAAATTAAAAACTAAACAGATTTAATTTATTTAAATTCTTTGAACTTTTTAATTTAATTCAATTATCAACAAAATAATATTTTAAAGTATTCTAGAATATTTGATAATACACACACAGTATTTATTGAATTTTAATATTTAAAAATATTTTTAGAAAAATACAATCAATATAAATATAATTAATTAAAATAGAATATATTTAAAATACGTAATATTTAAATTTTTTTAGAATATTTTTAGAAAATAGAATGGACATTTAAGCATTTGAGAGCTTTTTTTTAATTTTATTTATTAATTTTTCCTAAAAATAGAGGAAAAAATTTAAAATACAAATTTAATTAATTTTTTAAATTTGAAAGGGGACTAAAATGGATTTTAGATGAATGAGGTGCATGTATGAATCTAAATTTCTATTCACCTACTTTCTTAAAAATTTTTTAGTCAATTAATCACCTTTTCTATACATACACCATGAATAAGGCTAATCACCTAAACTAAAGGTGAATTCAAATTTTTCTAATTTATAAATTAATTCTTTTTATAAAAGATCAATTATCTATCAGTGTTTAATTTTATAATTAATTCAAATTTACTATTAAAGAGATTAAAATAAGTAATAAATAATTTTGATTTTAATTTTAATAGATTAAATATTCGAAAAATAATTTGAAAAGAAAGACGAAATAAAAGTGTAAAAAGAAGATTAAAAAAATTAAGATATTTAAATGTTTTTCTAATGTAAAATTTCTTGAATTTTCTAAAATTTGCTTTCCTTTATTCGTAAGCAAATGAAAGATTAATTTTCAATAAAAAAAATTTTCAAAGATTCTATAAATTTTTCAATAAAAAATTAACTAAATAATATTTTCAAAATTTAATCTAATTTTTACACTAAACTGTTATCTAAATATATTTTATTAAATATTATTTAGTTTATACCCTAAGGTACCCCTTTTTATTCCACCTCTAGATTAAGATAATACTACCCTTTTCTTCAAAAATATTAGTGTTGAAAATCTGGATGCTTTTTTTTAATTTTGGATACTGAATAATTTTTCACATTATACAATAAATAACTTTATAAAACTTGAAAGTGAATTAGATCAAATTAGTAAAAACTACATTGTTAAATGTATATCCAAAAAAAAGAAAACAATTTAAAGTTACAATTAATTTTGCTTTAAAAGAATAAAGAAGTGAGTATTAGAATGAAATCAAAAACAAATAAGCTAGATTAAATAGAGCTAATTCATTACAAATATCTTATATTTGTAAATTTAGTTAGTGCTTATCTTTTTTTAAGAAGCTAATTAGTTAATTGAAATGGAGAAGCCAATAAAAATCAATTAACTTTTTCCAAAAACTTTTATTATTTGAATTAAATTTTCAATCTATATTTTTATTTTAGAAGTAATTATTATACATAAATTGCTTAAAGATTATAAATCTAATTAAAAAATATGATTTAGTAGTTTTTCATCAAAATAAACACCTAAATAGCTCTTATAAAAAATGAAAATAAATAAAAATATATTCATTATTTTATGAATTAACACCTTTTTAAAGAAAATTAAAAAAATATTTGAAATCTACCAATAAATATGTTATTTCTAACAAAAATATTATAGATAATTCATTCATTAATATATATATCACTTCTTGAATTCTTTATTGATTTTATTGAATAAATTAATTTTCTTAAAAAATTTTAAAAACATCTTAAATTGCAAAAATAGTTAATTTAGATTTCCAGTAATTCTTTAAAAGCATTTTAGCATTAAATGATATCTTAAGAATGAAAATATTTATTTTTTAGAATAAAATTGCTACATTACTAAAATTTTATTGATCAGAGCGTTTTGATTTTAAGGCAAAAAAATCTATAATATTATCAACTTATAAAATATTAACTAAATAATGATTAGCTTTAAAATAAGATATTGCTGTTTGAATGAAAAAATGAACACAAAAAATTATTAGTTAAAGACAAATTTTAAAATTTATTTATTTATTTTTTTAATTTTAAGATAAAAAATTATATATTCTAATGTAAACATACTTTTAAAACAATTATTTTAATGTAAAAAGATTTTTTATTTCAAATTGATTCTTTTTTTCCTATTATAAAAGAAACGTTTACTGAAATACTGAACTTTTTAAGATTATCAAAGAGTCTAGTTTCATCTCCTAAATCACCATCATCAGAAGATGAGTGTAAAAATGAAGATCTAGATTTATATAGTTAATTTCTACCAAATGAATCGTTTTCAATATCTATTCTCTTTACAGATTTTATTTCATAATTTAAAGGTTATAGAGCGAGATTAGCTCTTTTTACTGCATCTTCTACTGCTTTTGATATTAATGAGTCCTTCAATTCTTTTATTTTTGTTTAAGTAGGCACAAATTGAACTGAAGATATTTTATTGATTCCATTACTAACAGCGATATCAATCACTTTTCCTGCTAAATCGAGCTTTTTAGATAAAAATATCAGCTTATTCTCTACCTTATATCCTTCAAAGATAGATTTATTACTCTTTGTTTTTTCATCATACTCTTATCTATAAGAAGGATAAATTCTCATATCTTGTGTGGTAAGTTCACTCTCTTCAACTCCTACTTTTTTCATTTCATTGATGGCTTTAGATATGCTTTGGTTGTTTTATATTAGTGAGGTTCCTGCAGATTCACTAAGAGTTTCAATGTCAAATTCAATAATGACTTATTCAGAAGCAAGATATCCAGAAGCTACTCCTGAAACTCTCATAAAATCAGGAAGATAATGATTTCTTTCTTCCCAGGAAGGACCAAAACTTAGTTTCTCTGATTTCTCACAAGAAGCATGAATGCTTGAAGCAAAAGTTAGCTAGCTAATTGATAAAACAGCGATAATCAATAAACTTTTTAAAATCATATGAGCCATTATTATTTAATGTTTTTGGACAAATTGCTTACCTTGTTTGTATCTTTGTTAATTTAATTTTAATGTATAATTAATTTTTTAACGATTTAATTAATATAAAAGAAACTTTATGATATAAATAATAGCTAGAGAGAGTATATTTTAATTGAAACTCTAAGACTCGCTTCTACATTATATATTAAATCAATGATTTATTTACACTTGTAACAAAAGAATCTTTTTTTAAATATAAAAGTTTCTATCAATTTATATAATAAATTATTATAGATAAATTGACTCTTTAGCATTTAGTTAAATCTTATTCATTAGTAATACCAAAACTGATCAGAAATACCTCATTTCATTTATTAATTCATTCATTATAAATATTCTAAAAAAAGAATAAATTATTTATTTATTTTTGATAGTGACTAAAAGTATTAATTCAATTCAAATTTGTTGTGAGTTTGGGGCATTTTTAACAATTAATCAGGTGATTATATTTTGTTAAAAGCGTGCTTGAATAGTAGTTTCTCACATACATTATAGAGGAGGGTTAAATTTTAAATAAATAAATTAATTCTTCTCTATAAGATTCGCATTTTTAAAAAAATTTTATTATAAAAAAGTATTAATTATAAAATCAAAGCCTTTCAAAAAAATAGTAATTTCATATTGCCAGATTTTCGAAAGGCATTTGGCTAAATATGAATATCTTTAAAGTTTATTTAAATTAATGTAAAAATAAAAATCTAGAGTTATATTAAAAATTATTTTCCACCATTAAATAGGTTTTGATAAAAACAATAAATCAAACTATAAATTTTTGACAACACTTTTTTTGAATGTAATACTTTAAAGATAAAAAAATTATTGAAGAAAAAATTTTCTCTATTGATTTTTTGATTTTGAAAAGATTTTATGATGAAAATAAATAAAATTAATTCTTAAAATTGAATGAATGAGTTTCTTTAATAATTTTAATAAGTTATTTAGTAAAAAAAATAAAATTATTTTTATTAAAGTTATTTATTTCATTTTTGATATCTTTATTAAAATGTAGATTTACTTTTTCTTAAAAATGAGAAACCAAGGAAAAATTATATTACTAATAATTCAATATTCATTCTTTGAAATCTATTTATTTTAAGAAAATTTATTTTTGAGTATAATTTTACTGCCGCTATCTAATTTGTCTATTCATATTTTTATTAAAAAGATATTTTTTAAATGAATATTACTTATTTGATCTCTCAAATAATTTTTTCCTCTTTATTACGAAATATGCTGCCTACTTTGGTATAAAACAAAAGAAATTTATTAAAATTTTTATAATTAATTAAATTAATAGTTTTCTTAAAAAAAATGATAGAATAGAATTAATATTACGATAATCTAGAAGACGTAAATAAAATACTTTCTTAATTGATTGCTCATTAAATTCTTTTTTCTCATAAAAAGTTTTTATGCTCCTCTCTGGAATCTCATACACTTCTCTTAATTGAACAAGAGTAAATTAAATTAATTAATATCTTTTTTAGTGTTAAATTTTTCAAGTTAAAAATATTACTATTTATTATTTTATTATTCTTTTTTATTTATTTCAATGGGTTTAATTCTGAATAAAGTTAATTCAATATTTTATTATTTTCTTTAAAATGAAAAAAGTTACCGTTAAATAGGTGCATAAGGTGTATCTACCTTAAGTTCTGCCTTGGCTAAATGCATTAATCTCTAAAAATTGAATCTCAATCTTCGGTAATCAATATTCATTTATTTATTTGTTTTGGATTCTAATATTTTTAACACAAAAAATAACTTAAAACAACAAAGCTCCCTTAATTTAGTACTTTTTATTTGGTTTTTTTAATATTTTTGATTTTTATTACTATTTTAATTTTTTATTTTTACTCTCTTCTTGATTAAATTACTCTAGATAATTATATTTTTCTTCAAAATTTAAAAGTGATAATTAAATTGGCGTAGAGGGTGCATCAGCTTTAGCCCATGCTATAACATAGTGTACTAATCTCGTTAATTTTGAAATTAATCTTGAGTAAAAATTATACCTATTTTTGATTTAGATATTTTTAATATAAAATAAATTAAAATAATAAAAATCTATAATCTATCTTTTTATTTGGTTTGTTTATCATTTCATAAGAATTTTATTTTTATTACTATTTTAAAATTTTTATTTGATACTTTTTTTTTATTTCAAATTTATTAAATATATATTTAAAAAGTAATAATGAAATAAATGCAGAAGGTTCATCAAATATAAGTGCTGCTTTATAAAGCTGCTCTAAACTCTCAAATTTGATACTTAATCTTAGGTAAAAATAATATTATTAGCTTCAACTTTCATACTTTTTAACTTAAAAATATAATTCTTTTTTATTTTTTTCGGTATCTTTTTTGATTTTTAATGTTTTATTTCAACTTTTTTAATTATTACAAACTTTTTTTATTTTTTTTCATTTTTATTTTGACAAAATTTTTTTTTATATTTAAAAGAGAGAATTAATTAGGTGCCATTGGCGCACAAACCTTAGGTTAAAATCTAGTAAATTGCACAAAATTGTAAAATTTGACTCTAGATCTTTTGTAAAAATAAACAGCTTATTTTTTAGATTGTGATATTTTTGAAAATAAAAATTATCTTAAAACAACAAAATCCATTAATTTGATTGATATTTATTTTAAATATTTGTTATTTTTTTTTATTATTATTATACCTTTGATTAGTTTAATTTTGATTTTAAGTTATTTATTTCATTCTTCACATTTACTATTTATATTTTCTTTATTATTTAAAAAGTGAAACTTAAATTGGTGATAAGGGTTTATCAGACTTAGCCTCTGCTTTAGGAACTTCTACTAATTTATTAAATTTGGCCCTTCTACTTTCGTAAAAACAGTTTATTTTCATATTTTTATATTTTTTACTATTAAACTTTGTTTAATTATTTATTTTTAATTGAAATTGTTTTTTTTCATTATTTTGAGCCCATTTTAACTTTTTAACTTGTGTTTTGATTGTAATTTCTTTATTATTTTTTTCTTTTTTACAACCTAATTATTTTTAATTAAAATTTAAAAAGTAAAAATTAAATCAATGCACAGGGAGCATCAGGTTTAGGCTTTGCTTTAACAAAATGCACTAATATTTCAAGTTTGATACTTAACCTTAAGTACAAATAAATAATATATTTATATTTATTTATTTATTTGTTTATTTGTGATTCTGCTTTTTCTAAGTGAAGGGAGGGGATGTAGCCATGTAGAAACTAATAAAAGTTGAATAAAGGTAGGGATATATATTTACCCTTAAATCTTTTTAAAAAATAAATTATGGCTATTCCCCTTCTGCTTATCAATCAATTTTTTTTAATTGAATTTATTTTTATAATTTAAACATTTGCTTTAATCATGAATATTGTTCTAATTATTGCATATTTTTTTTCATCTACTCTGATGACAAATTAACTATCACTTTTAAAAAGTGAAAATTAAATTGGTCCAGAAGGTGCATCAAGCTTAGGTTCTGCTTTATTCAACTGCTCTAATCTCTCAAATTTGGAACTTTATCTTTAGTAAAAGCCGTTTTTATTTATTTATTTATTTATTTATTTATTTATTTATTTATTTATTTATTTATTTGATTGTGATATTTTTTAATATAAAAATTTATTTAATTAATAAAATTTTATTTAGATAGCTTTTTTTTATGATTTTATTAATTTATTTAATTAATATATAACTTTTACTTGAATTATTATTTCATGCTTCCTTCATCATTTTTTCCTTCTAATTAACTAACTAATTAAGTAATTATTTTTTGAATAATTAAAAGATCCAATTAATTAGGAGATAAAGGGGCATAAGGCTTAGGTAAAGCTTTAACAAATAGCGCTAATATCTCAAATTTAACACTTGATCTAATGTAATATCAATTTATTTGCTTTTTAGATTATGATATTTTATATTAAAAGAATTATTTTTAACTAATTAAAATCATATATATAGATTGATTATTAATTCAATTTTTAAAATTTTTTTATATTTAATTTTAGTGTTGATAATTTATTTCTTTTTCTTTTATATTTCTTAAGCTTTTTTATTCTTGTTAGTAAATGTAATTTCTTTAATATTTAAAAAGTGATAATTAAATTGGTGCTGAAGGTTTATTAGACTTGAGTTCTGGTATATCAAAATGCTCTAGTCTATCAAATTTGTAATTTTACCTAGAGTAAAAAGAATTTATTTGCTACCATATTGATATTTTTTAAATTAAAAGTTAATATAAGGCAATAATATTTAATTTTTCTATTAGCCTTTTATTTCATTTATTAATATTTTTAAAATTGTTTCCATTTTCCCCCCCTAAATTTAACTCTTTTTTCATTAAAAAATAAATTTAAATATTTTCTTTTGTAGAGGCTTTAAAAAAATATTTTTAAGCTATATTTTTATAGATATGATAAATAAAAATAAATATGATATCATAAGATTATATTTCACTGGATTTTCTATTTCTATATATATATTGTTATTATTATTTTGTAATTAATTACTTTTAATTTATTTTAATTCCTATGTTAAAAGTTTCAGTGATATTGGTGCAGAAGGTGCATAAGTTTTAGGTTCTGCTTTAGCTAGTTGCACTTATCTCTCAAAATTAAAACTTTCAATTAGGTAAATACAGTTTATTTGTTTATTTATTTATTTAAGATTGGTTTTATCATCAGAGCTATTGTCTTCAATACAGTCAACTCTATTATTGGGTTGACTGTCTGTAATCGTTCAAACAAACTGCTTCTTTCTATTTAATATAAAATTTAATTTAATATAATGAAACTAATTTTTTTTATTTATTTGAATTTTTTGTGTGCTTTTTATAAATTTTATAGATTATTTCAGTTTTTTACTTAATATTTTTTTAATTTTTACAAAGTAATTAAGTTTATTTTCATTAATCTTTAAAAAGTAATAATTAAATTGGTGCATAGGGTGCCATAAACTTAGCTTCTAGTTTAGCAAATTGCACTAATCTCTCTGATTTGACTCTTTTTCTTGGGTAAAAAGAGTTTATTTTTATTTTTAGACAATTTAAGAATTTAAAACAAACAATAAATTTATTCTAAAAATCTTTGCTTAATTTATTTTTTCTTGATTTAATTTATTCATTTATTTGTTTTTAAGTTCTAATTTAATTATCAATTCATTAATTTCTAATGTTTTACAATTTTATTTAACTACTTATTTTTTCTTCAAACTATTTATTTTTGTTTGAATATTTAAAAAGTAACAATCAAATTGGTGATGAAGGCTCATCAGTCTTAGGGTTTGCTTTAGCTAAGAGTACTATTCTCTCAAATTTGAATCTTTTACTTAAGTAAACAAATTTTTTTGTTTTTAATTGTGATATTTTTAAAATGTAAGCTAAGTTAAAACAAAAACATTTTATTCAATTCATTCATTATTTATTTATTTTTTGATTGTTAATGTTTTTTTTAAAAAAATTTATTAATTTTTAATTTTCACTGAAATTTTATTAATTTCTTTTCATTTCATGTGTTTTCTTCTTTTTTTATTTCTAATTAACAAATTTTTTTTTTTAAATATTTAAAAAGCAAGAATTAAATTAGTACAAAGGGTGCACTAGCCTTAGAATAAGGTTTAGCAAACTGCGTTAAACTCTCAAGCTTAACACTCAATCTTAAGTAAAAATAGTTTTTTTGATTTGGGTTGAAATAATTTTAACTTAAAAAAGAACTTAAAGAAATAGAAATAAATCTATTATTTGCTTTTAACTCATTTATTTATTTTTAGTATTTTTTTAATTTAAAGTATTAAATAATAACTAATTTATGCTATTTTATTAATTATTTTTTTCTGATATTTAAAGTTTTAATGAAATTAATGAAAGCTCATAAAAAGAGAAAATATGTAGACAGTTTCGTAAATCAAAAAGATTAGTTGAATTATTTATAATTGTTTGATATTTTTAATTTTATTTATCAATAATAAAACTATAAATCCCTCTAGATTTACACTCAATCTTTAGTATAATTACTTAATTTATTTTATTGTTTTAGACTGTTTGTTTTACATTAACTTAAAAAGAAATTTAAAACTATAAAAATCTATAGAAAATTTGCTTTTTATTAATTTATTTATTTTAATGCTTTTTTATTTTAATTTTAAGTATTAAATTAAAGCTATTTTATAAATTCTTTCTTTAATATTTTTTTTATTTTTAATATTTCAATGTAATTAAAGATAGCTCATAAAAAGAGAAAATACATACATAAATATATAGAATGTTTCATAAATAAAAAAGATTAATTGAAATATTTATTTGGTTTTTGATATTTTTTATTTTACGTATCTATTTATAATAAATCTATTATTTGCTCCTAAAACACCAACTCTTAAATTTTTTAGAGGGTTTACAGGAAATTATATAACTCCCTTTTTTCTAAATTAGGGGAGGGGGTCTTATTATAAAGAGTTTAGAGTAATTAACTATATATTTTTTCATCAATATTTAAAAAGTAAGAAAAAAATGTTTGGTTACGAAGCATCATGGTTAGGTTCTGGTTTAGGAAAGTGCACTAATCTCTCTAATTTGACACTTCATCTTGTGTAAAAACTTTTTTATTTGGTATTATTTATTGTGCTTAAGTTATTATTTTTATTCATTAATTTAAATATTTTTAATATTCAATAATTGCTTTTTTTATTAATTAGTAAATTAATTTCTTATTTTTCTTCATCTTTTGAATTTAACTAACTAATTAATTAAATAGCTATTTATTCTTCAATATTTATAAAAAGTAACAATAAAATTGATGATGAAAGTGCTTTGGGTTTAGGTTCTGGTTTAGGAAAGTGTACTAATCTATCAAATTTAAAGCTTAATCTTGAGTAAAAATAGTTTATTTGTTTTTTATTGTGATATTTTTTAATATAAAAATTTAATTTATAATAATAATAATAACTCTTTTAATTTATTATTAATGATCACTTCATTTTATTTGGTTTATTTTTTTTTATTATTTTGCTTATGTTTTTTTTTCTTTGTTTATTAATTTAAAATATTTTTTTTCTTTTCAATTTTTGCTTTTATTATTATTTAATTTATTTATTTATTTCTTTTTATTTCATATTTTTTCTTCATTTATTTTTTCCTTCTAACTAACTAACTTATTAAGAATTTTTTTTTCAATTTATACAAAGTTAGAATAATATTGGAGCAATAGGTATATCACACTTAGGTTCTGCTTTAGAAAAATGCACTAATCTCTAAAATTTGACACTTACTCTAAGGTAAAAAAAGTTGATATATATGTTTTTGATTGTGATATATTTTTAAAAAATAATGAATTTAAAATAATAAAAATAACTCTCTTAATTTATTTATTCATTAACTTTTTATTTGATTTATTTTTTTTATTGTACTTATGTTCTTTTTTCTTTCTTTGTTAGTTTAGCTCATTTTTTTATTTTCACTTTTGCTTTTATTATTTCATATTTTTTTATTAATTTTTTATTTCTAATAAATTTTATATTTTTTCTTCAATATTTAAAAAGCTAAAATTAAATTGGTGACGAAGGTTCATTAAGCATAGGTTCTAGTTTAGGAGAGTGTAGAAATCTCTCAAATTTAATACTTTATCTTAAGTAAATATAGTATAATTGTCATATTTTTTAATATGAAATTTAAAAAGCTCAAATTAAATTGGTGATTAAGGTGTATCAAGCTTAGCTTTTGGTTTAAAAAAGTGCACTAATCTCTCAAATATGACACTTCTTCTTAAGTAAAAATAGTTTATTTGTTTTGGATTGTGATATTTTTGAATATAAAAATGAATTAAAAACAATATAACTAACTAACTAACTAACTAACTAACTAACTAACTAACTAACTAACTAACTAACTCATTTAATTTATTTATTAGATTTTTATTTGATTTATTTTACTTTCTTTTTTTTATTGCGTTTATGTGTTTTTTTTTCTTTCTTACTTTGTTAATTTAACTAATTTCTTTTTTAATATTCAATATTTAAAAAGCTCAAATTAAATTAGTAATTAAGGTGTATCAGGCTTAGTTTTTGGTTTAAAAAAGTGCACTAATCTCTCAAATTTGACACTTCGTCTTTGGTAAAAAATAGTTTATTTGATTTGGATTGTGATATTTTTGAATATAAAAATGAATTTAAAACAATAAAACTAATTAACTAACTCTTTTAATTTATTTATTAGATATTTATTTGATTTATTTTTCTTTCTTTTTTTTTATTCTATTTATGCGCTTTTTTTTTCTCTAATTAATATGAAAAGTTAAAACAAAATCAATGAAAAATATTAATTGAAAGAAAAGTTTCTTAAATTAAAAAGATTAGTATCCTTAATAATAAGTTTCTGTTGATGATAAAAAAGTGGTGGGTGAAATAAGGACAAATACTAAAATATAAAAATAATTGAATAATAAATATAATTTGTTTTATTTTATACAAATTTGTAATAGGATAATTTAACCTAAAATATAAATTGATTTATTTATTTATTAATTCTTTTTATTATATTATAACTATCATATTTTAATAAGTTAATAAATAGTTAGTTATCTAATAAAGAAAATTTAAAAGTAAAATTAACTTAAATAAAGCTTTTCTTTCTAGCCCTCAATTTTCACCAAAAATGGTCAAAACTTTATTAATTTATTTATTAATCTATCTATCTACGTCTGTCTGTCTTATTAAATTAAATAAATAAGAAATTTTTATTTCATAGATATAAATTAGATGTATTAATTGTTGAAATTAATATCTTAAAAACATAACTAAAAGGTTAAATAAAAATTACAATATATTACTAATCCTCTAATTAAAATATCACCAACTGTGTAGGTATGTATGTATGTATGTATGTATGTATGTATGTATGTATGTATGTATGCATGTATGTACAGATGGTGATATTTCATTTAATTTTTATGATTTTAAGCTAATTTTACACTTTATATTTTTTAATTTTTTTTATCTACCTATTTTTATTAAATTTTGAAAAAAATTTTTTTAATTTAATGCCTTTTCTCAAATTTTAATTAAGTAAATTTAATTTTTTTATTTATTTATTTAATAAGCTATCTAATAACTTAGTAAAATATGATAAATATAATTAAAATAATAAATAAATAAATCTATTTTTAATTTAGGTTAAATAAATTATATGATTACAAATTTAATAAAAATAAAACATATTATATTTATTATTCAATTATTTTTATATTTATTCATCTTTTTTCACCTTGCTTATAATAATCATAATTCTATAATAGAGAAAACTAATCGTTTTGACTTAAGGCACTTTGCTTTCACTTATAAAGGTTATTAGATTAGGTTGAAACTTTTTATAAAAATTTGTGTAAATTAATAAAAAAATGAAATAGAATAAAATTTATATCAATCATAATAATTTAAATTATTAAACAAAATTAGCAAGTAGGATAAAAAATAAAAAGAAAAACAAATCAAACAAAAAGCTAATAAATAAATTTAAAGAGTTAGTAATAATTTTTTAAATTCATTTTTTCATTCAAAAATATCACAATCCAAAAAATAAATATTTTTTACTATAGATAAAGTTGCAACTTTGTGAGTTTAGTGCACTTTTTTAAACTAAAACTTAAGATTGATGCACCTTCATCATGAATTTTATTGTTACTTTTTTTAAAAATTGAAGAAAACATATATAGTTAATTCATAGAAGGAATAATATGTAGAAAAAAATCAAACAATAAGAAATTAATTAATCATAAAAATAAAAGTTGAAGATAAAAAATGTATTAAATTAACAAAGAAAAGAAAAATCAAATTAATTAAAAGCTAATAAATAAATAAATTAAAATAGTTATTAAGTTAGTAATATTATTTTAAACTCATTTTTATATTAAAAAATATCCCAACCAAAAATAAATAAACTGATTTTACCTAAGGGTAAGTTATAAGCTTTAGACATCAGTGCAGTTTACTATGGCAGATCCTAAGCTTGATACACCTTTATCACCAATTTCATTGCGGCTTTTTAAATATAGAAGAAAAAATATATTGTTAACAAGCTAGTTAAGAGGAAAAAAAGGAAAAAATATGAAATATAGAAAGAAATTAATTAAAAGTAAAAGTTCATAATGAAAAAATGAAATAAATTCACTTAGAATAAAACAAAAGCAAATTAAATATATTTCTAATTAATAAATTAAAAGAGTTTTAAATTCAATTTTATATTTAAAAATATCACAATCCAAAACAAAAAACTGTTTTTACTAAAGATCAAGTGCCAAATTTGAGACATTTCTGCACTTTCTTAAACCATAACCTAAGCCTGATAGACCTTCATCACCAATATAATTTTAGCTTGTTAATTATTGAAGAATAAATATGAAATAATAAAAGAAAATGTTTAAATTGAAAAAATGATTTAAATTAATAAAAACATTAGAAAAAAAAACTCAAGAAGAATAAAAAATAAATCAAATAAAAAGCTAATAAATAAATAAATAAATAAATTAAAAGAGTTAGTTATATTGTTTTAAATTCATTTTTATATTAAAATATAAAACAATCGAAACAAACAAACTGTTCTTACTTAAGATTAAGTGTCAATTTTGAGAGATTAGTGCATTTTCCTAAACCAGAACCTATGCCTGATGCTCCTTCGTCACCAATTTAATTCTTACTATTTATATAAAATATATGAAATAAATTAATAATAAAAGTAAATGTTGAAAATAAAAATAATTAGTTAAATAAACAAACAAACATAGAAAGAAAGAAAAAACACCATCAAAATAAAAAAATAAAAAATAATTTCAATTAAAAGTTAATAAATTTAATAAATTAAAAGACTTATTTTTACAGTTATAAATTCATTCTTATATCAAAAAGTATCACAATCCAAAGTAAATCAATAAATAAATAAATAAATAAATAAATAAATAAATAAATAAATAAATAAACAAACTGTTTTTACCCAAGATCGAGTGTCAAATTTTAGAGATTAGTGCATTTTCCTAAACCAAAGCCTAAGCCTGATGCACCTTCGTCACCAATTAAGTTCTTACTATTTAAATATCGAAGAAAAAATAGATAGTTAATTAGTCATTAAGATGGAAAAAATGAAAAAAATAATATGAAATAATAAGAAATAATAAATAATAAACAAAAGTAAAAAATAAAAAAATTAATTAAACTATCAAATAAAAAAAGATTAAAAGACTTAGTTAGTTAGTTAGTTAGTTACTTAGTTAGTTACTTAGTTAGTTAGTTAGTTAGTTAGTTAGTTAGTTAGTTAGTTAGTTAGTTAGTTAGTTAGTTAGTTAGTTAGTTAGTTAGTTAGTTAGTTAGTTAGTTAGTTAGTTAGTTAGTTAGTTACTTAGTTAGTTAGTTAGTAAATTTATTTTAAATTGATATTTATATTCAAAAATATCATAATCAAACACAAAAAAACTGTATTTACCCAATTTCAAGTGTCAAATTTGAGAGATTAGTGTATTTTCCTAAAATTGAACCTAAAGCTGATGCACCCTCATCACCAATTTTATTGCCACTTTTTAATTGATGAAAAAAAATTTACTTAAATTAGCTAGTTAGAAGGAAAAAATGAAGAAATAATAAATATATAATAATAAAAAATGAGTTAATTAATTGATAATAATAAAAAAAAATTTGAAAATGAAAAATAAGTTAAATCAACAAAGAAAGAAAGAAAAAATAACAAGTCGAATAAAAAAAGAAAAATAAGTAAAATAAAAAGCTTTTAAATAAATTAAATGAGTTTTATTGTTTTAAATTAGTTTTTATATTAAAAAATATAATAATCAAAAACAAAAAATCGGTTTTTACCGAATATCAAGTGTCAAATTTGAGAGATTAGCACAGTTTGCTAAACCAGAAATTAAGCCTGATGCACCAACTGCACCAATTTTATTATCACTATTTAAATATTGAAGAAAAAAATATAAAATTAATTAGTTAATTAGAAAGAAAAATCATGAAATAATAAGAAATTAATTGATAATAAAAGTAAAAGCTGGAAATGAAAAAAAGAGTTAAATTAAAAATGAAATAAAATAAAAACTTAAAATAAATAAATTAAAAGATTTAATTAGTTTTTTTGTTTTAAATTCATTTTTATAATAAAGAATACCACAATCAAATGTAAATAAACTATTTTTACAGGAGTGAAAGTGTCAAATTTGAGAGATTTGTGCACATTCCTAAATTAGAGCCTAAATTTGTTGCACCTATTGCATCAATTTTATTGTCACTTTTTAAATATTAAAGAAAAATATTTAGCAAACCAATTAGTTAGTAGAAAGAAAAAGTGAAGAAAAATATGAAATAATAAGAAATGAATTAGATAAAATAAAAATAAAATTGAATGTGAATAAATCAATTTAGTAACACAAAGAAAAGAAAAGAAAAGCAGAAATAATCATAATCAAATAAAAATTTAATAAATAAATAAGTTATAAGAGTATCACAATCCAAAAAATGAATTGTTTTTACTAAAAATGAAGTGTCATATTTGAGAGATTAGCACAGTTTGCTAAAGAAGAACTTAAACCTGATACACCCTTATCACCAATTAAATTGCGACTTTATAAATATTAATTAAAAAATAAATAGTTATCTATTTTATTAGAAGGAAAAAAATATAAAAAAATATTATATAATGAAACGAATTTATAAATTAATAATAAAAGTATAAGTTAAAAATTAAAAAAATGGGTTAAATAAACGAAAATTTGCTATTGATATGCTTCGTTATGTTGGTGCTTATTCAATTTTCATAGGATCTAATGCTTTTAACAAAGAAAGAAAGTAAGAAAGAAAGAAAGAAAAAAAATTTAATTTGATTGTTTTAAAATAATTTTGACACTAAAAAATATTGCAGTTCAAAAAATAAACAGTTTTTACTTTAGATTAAGGGTCAAATTTGAGAGATTAGTGCACTTTTCTAAACCAGAACCTAATCTTAATGCGTCTTCATCACTAATTCCATTGCTACTTTTTAAATATTGAAAAAAATAATAAATTTAACTAGTTACTTAGAAGGAAAATAAAACAAAGAATATTAAATATTAAATTAATTTATTTAAAAAAATTGAGTGAAAATTAAGTTAAAATCATTAAAAAATATTTATATTAATTAAAATAAAATAATATTGATGATAGTTTCTATTTGAAAACTAATATTGTAAGTAACTTGAAAATTAAAGATAAAAAAATATTAATAATAATAATATCTTTAAATCAAATTTACATCATAGTAATAAGGAGTACCTAATGAGATTAAAGTGAAGAGTTTAAAAACTTTATTTATTAGTAAAAATAAATTTAAACTATATTAATAATAAAATAAATATTTACTTCTTCTAGACTGCCGAACTTGTTATTCTATTATATCATATTTTTTATTTTAAATTTTAAATATCAATTTATGCAAATCAAATTAATTAATTAGTTAAGCGTATATTAAAAAATTAATTTTTTTATTTCAAATTAATCTGGATAAAAAGAACAAATAAATTATTGTAATTAACAAATATTAACTTATAAATTTATTTTTACAAAGAGATATCACAAAAAATTATTTAGAATAATATTTACTTTTCAATCTTAATATTTTCTATATAAAACTTATACTTAAAAACATAAAAAGAATTAGAGATGGTTAGTTAGTTAGTTAGTTAGTTAGTTATTCGTATGTTGAAAAACTTTTAGTAATTAAATTATTTAAATTTTAATAGAATTATTTTTATTAAGTAAATTTATTTCCGTTTTAATCTACTAATCATAGAATATTTTAATTAAAATATCTAATTATTCTCAAATCCTATTAATTTTTTTTGCACACACATGCTATTTAGGTATTTATAAAGGCTGTATTTAACAAATAACAGTTTTTATAGCTATAAAAATAAATTTTTAATAATCAAATAAATTAAACATTTTTATATTAATTAAGATTAATTTTTTGAAAATTATTAAATAAATAATATTTTATTCATTAGGATATTTATTTACTAACATAAAAAATTTAGTAATCAATAAATTTAAAGAATTTACTTATTTTCCTAATGAAACAAGGAACTTTTTGATGTGATTGATTGATTGATTGATTGATTGATAGATTGATAGATAGAATAAGGGCACGGGATTAGCTTTTATCATACATTTTAGTATAGATTAAATTAACAAAATTGTAATATTTTTTTATTATTCTTGAATAATTAATTATTTCTCTTATAATTTTTGATTGATATAGTTAACAAACACATAACATAAAGCTACGCCAATAAATACTAACATATATAAAATTAATATTATTCAATCTTTCATGAATTTTAATCAATAATTAATAGAGTTGTCAATTATAGCTATTTTTAGGAAAGTTTATTAAATTAATGTAAGATGGCTTATTAACTTTAGCTTAAGTATACATAAAAAATTTTAAATGTATTTTAATAAATTAATCTTATTGGGGGCTAAAGTGTTAATGAGAAAAGTAGGTGGTAACCTTTAATTTTTCGAACATTTTTTTATATAAAATAAGATAAGCATTTTAAACTTTATAATACCACATTAAAAAAAAATTACATAAATTCTTGATATGAAATAAGCTTATAAAAGCTAAATTCAAGATTAAAGACTTTTAAATTGATTAATTTACTCTAAATATTATTGAATAAAAATCAAATTTGTATTATTGAATCAATAAATGATAATTTAAAAAACAATTATTTTATGATTTAAAAAATATAAAATGAAAAAAATGATAATAAGATAAATTTAAAATTTGAGAAAAAAAAAAACAAAAATAAACATAAAAAATAAAAAGTAAAACTTGATTTCTCCCTGAGGTTTTATTTAAATCATGGCATCTACAAGATAAATAAAAAAAAGGATAAAAATATGATTGATGGATAATATTTAAGATTAAAATATAACTGGCATATAAAGTTTGCCATTTATATAATTTAATAAGATGTAATATGACACTAAAAGTTTCAAATTGTTTGATCGTTTTTGGAGAAACAAGAGAGTTTGCTTAAGGAAATTTAATTTTTTATTTTTTATAAATAATTTATTTACTTACAAAAATATGAATGATATTTATAAATATAAAATCAATAATAAAATCTATTTATATTTATATTTTAGGTTTAAATTTTTTTCAAAATATTATATAATAAAATATATAATATTATTCAAACATTTTATACTTATTCATCCTTTTTTCACCAGTTGTTTATCTAAAAGACAACTAATCTTTTTGATTTACGACACTTGTTTATTACTTTTAATATTTATGATTCATTTATTGAGTTTTTATATCTATAATAAATTTGTGTAAATTATTAATAAATATCAAAATAGAATAAAGTTTTAAATTAAAAATTATTCTTTAAATTAATAAATAAAATAAAATTAGTTCAATAAAAATGATAAAAAAAATAAAATAAATAAAAGCTATCAAATAAATTCAAAGAACTTTTTTGTTTAAAATTCATTTTTTTATTTAAAATATCACAATCCAAAAAAAATAAACTGTTTTTACCCAAGGTTAAGTGTCAAATTCGAGAGATTAATGCAATTTGCTAAAGCAGAACATAAGTCTGATGCACCCATTGCACCAATTTAATTTCCACTTTTTAAATATTGAAGAAATAATATATCATTAAATAGTTTATTAGAAGGAAAAAAGAAAAAATATGAAATAATAAGATTAATTAATTAATAATAAAAGCAAAATTTGAAAATAAAATGATGAGCTTAATTAACAAAGAAAGAACAAAAAAAAGCAAGCACAGTAAAAAGAAAAAGAATAAAGAGCTTTATTGTTTGTAATTAGTTTTTATAATTAAAATTATCACAATTCAAATCAAATAAACTGTTTTTACCCAAGGTCAAGTGTCAAATTCGAGAGATTAATGCAATTTGCTAAAGCAGAACCTAAGCCTGATGCACCCATTGCACCAATTTAATTGTAACTTTTTAAAGATTGTAGAAAAAATATATCATTAAATAGTTAATTAGAAGGAAAAAATGAAGAAAAAATATGAAATAATAAGATTAATTAATTAATAATAAAAGCAAAATTTGAAAATAAAATGATGAGCTTAATTAACAAAGAAAGAACAAAAAAAAGCAACCACAATAAAAAGAAAAAGAATAAAGAATAAAGAGCTTTATTGTTTGTAATTAGTTTTTATAATTAAAATTATCTCAATTCAAATAAAATAAACTGTTTTTACCCATGGTCAAGTATCAAATTAGAGAGATTAATGCAATTTGCTAAAGCAGAACCTAAGCCTGATGCACCCATTGCACCAATTTCATTCCAACTTTTTAAATATAGAAGAAAAATTATATCATTAAATAGTTAATTAGAAGGAAAAAAAATTAATTAATTAATAATAAAAGCAAAATTTGAAAATAAAATGATGAGCTTAATTAACAAAGAAAGAACAAAAAAAAGCAAGCACAGTAAAAAGAAAAAGAATAAAGAGCTTTATTGTTTGTAATTAGTTTTTATAATTAAAAATATCACAATCCAAAACAAATAAACTATTTTTACTAAAGGTAAAGTGTCAAATTCGAGAGATTAATGCAATTTGCTAAAGCAGAACCTAAGCCTGATGCACCCATTGCACCAATTTAATTTCCACTTTTTAAATATTAAAGAAATAATATATCATTAAATAGTTTATTAGAAGGAAAAATGAAAAAATATGAAATAATAAGATTAATTAATTAATAATAAAAGCAAAATTTGAAAATAAAATGATGAGCTTAATTAACAAAGAAAGAACAAAAAAAAGCAACCACAATAAAAAGAAAAAGAATAAAGAATAAAGAGCTTTATTGTTTGTAATTAGTTTTTATAATTAAAATTATCACAATTCAAATCAAATAAACTGTTTTTACCCAAGGTCAAGTGTCAAATTCGAGAGATTAATGCAATTTGCTAAAGCAGAACCTAAGCCTGATGCACCCATTGCACCAATTTAATTGTAACTTTTTAAAGATTGTAGAAAAAATATATCATTAAATAGTTAATTAGAAGGAAAAAATGAAGAAAAAATATGAAATAATAAGATTAATTAATTAATAATAAAAGCAAAATTTGAAAATAAAATGATGAGCTTAATTAACAAAGAAAGAACAAAAAAAAGCAAGCACAATAAAAAGAAAAAGAATAAAGAGCTTTATTGTTTGTAATTAGTTTTTATAATTAAAATTATCACAATTCAAATCAAATAAACTGTTTTTACCCAAGGTCAAGTGTCAAATTAGAGAGATTAATGCAATTTGCTAAAGCAGAACCTAAGCCTGATGTACCCATTGCACCAATTTTATTTTCACTTTTTAAATATTGAAGAAAAAATATATCATTAAATAGTTAATTAGAAGGAAAAAATGAAGAAAAAATATGAAATGATAAGATTAATTAATTAATAATAAAAGCAAAATTTTAAAATAAAATGATGAGCTTAATTAACAAAGAAAGAACAAAAAAAAGCAAGCACAATAAAAAGAAAAAGAATAAAGAATAAAGAGCTTTATTGTTTTTAATTAGTTTTTAAAATTAAAAATATCACAATCCAAAACAAATAAACTGTTTTTACTAAAGGTTAAGTGTCAAATTCGTGAGATTAATGCAATTTGCTAAAGCAGAACCTAAGCCTGATGCACCTTCATCACCAATTTAATTTCCACTTTTTAAATATT